ACTCCGTTTTTGTAGCATTGTCAAGTATCGCATATATCGTAGACTTCTACTTCTCAAGCTATACGGGGAAAAAATCATTTCCAAGGATTCAAACAAGGGGACAGGAAGGCAGAGAGATTGGTTTACTACTTTCTTTTGTATTATTGATGTAAGCGATTTCAAAATTCTTGCTCTCCTTCTATCTGTATTCCTTTTTATTTATAGATACTAAATATATAGTTCAAATCAGAACCGAATAAATTCAGGCTGAGATAATCGCTGCGTACTAACATAACAGTCCATGGTCAGTCAAAATGAGCTTAAGTTCTCAAGTGAATAATCATTCGCTTCATGATCACAATTTCCAAATCATACCACACATACATAACATTGGAACTATTCGACTCGATTATTTCCATGAATTTTATACTCGAATTATTCGAGTATAAAATTCATGACGCAAATCAAATTACAGAGACATGAAGAGCAAGCGGTCTATCATATTGAAGTCTCAGAGCCTCTGTATCCTGAGTTGCGATACTCCTCCTAATTTCTTCCTGTAAGCTTTTAGTATCGTAATTGGATTCTGGAGGATAAATGAGGACTAGCTCATCACCACTAGTGAATCTAGAGTATTGTCAATAACTCCTTGATTATCAAGAGGAAAGTTTATTTGTAACTATCACACATCGCCATCAATAATATTAGTGCTGTCACATAATCCCCGAGTATTCTCATATACATTCATATTCGAAGACATATACCGAATAGATTATAAATCACAACAAAGATTCAGCTCCAACCTTGCATTCACTAATGATCAAGCCGTTATCAATATGCAACAACATCTCGCCAAATTCCTCAATGTTCATTTTTACGAAAATACAAAGATATGATATTTGGCGAGCCGCTGCATTTAGAAGAGGTCCCATATGCATACTCGTACTTACTGCAAACTATAGATTCACGTGAGCTCGAGTAACAATGGAAGCTGCAATATACCACACAAGCAAAAAACAAAAGGCGGAAATGCGAACTATGCCTATGCCTCGCGCCGTACCTTCTCTTCTTCTCTTACCAGATTAGACAGGCATCCGAAACAAAATTTCACACTCAGAATCGTTATAAGATTACTATCTACCACAAGACTAGATTCCGATAATTCATTTGAAAAATATCGATATATGCAGTCAGGAAAGTATACAATATCTACAAGTCATTCATCATAATCCAGAGTTCGACCCATCCATGCTACTTGAGCATACTAATATAAAACCCTAATTCTCGCATTTGTAAATAGTGATATCAATGCTCTACTTTAACTTTTGAGCAAAAACAATGACAGACCAATAAGAGCTGTGGACACCGAGTGAGTAGACAATTGATTAAATCAGATATGGAACTAATTACCGTTACTCATCAAAAATAGAAGTAAAGATATATATTAATTGTGTAGTAAAATACACTTCTCAAACGAACCCCCGCATCAGCAACCACCTCACCAAAAAAAAAGAAATCTTGTCCTCCGGAGAAATCTTAAACTTCACTCCAGACAAGCAACAACCGCCCCTCACGCGAAACCGCAGAATTCCCCTTACACACAACCGTGATTTGCCAGATACGGTCAAAACGAAATAAAAGTCATATCATAGATCTTGATCATAAATCTGAAAGAGGACTAGTAGACTAGCTAGCATAGAGCTCGCCCCTGTAATTCTATCATCTTGTCATTCTCGTAAGGTAAGCACAATCCCAGATCTTCTACTCCCTATCCATAGGTTCGCTCGGTGACACTAGACCACTAGACTGCATATATAGTAATGGAATCATGAGAATGCTTCCCCCGCCGCTTTCGAGATATGATATCTATACAAACTATGCAATCATATTTCTTTCTTTTGGGCTTTCATTGTTGTTGTTGCATGTCTAGAAATTGAACTTTTTCTGGAGAGGGAGAGCACGTTTCTTCTCTCATTCCATAGCGTAGGCCGACAAAAGGTTTTTTAATCACTGTAAAATATGAGTAATCCTAGATGTTGAAGGCTATGTAAAATGTGTTTGAATTCCTCCTAGTCGCTAAAGTAGCATCCACGGAGTTGTTTTTTTACTTATTTGTCTTTTCACTTTTTTGTCTTCCTACTTAGTCTTCTGTGATCTCACTTTAACATTTGTTACTGGCAAGATGTGCTGCTAGTTATGAATGCCTTCTCTCATCAATGCCTGTCCCCTTGAGTTAATAAGAAGATAAGTTCGTCCATCCGAACCTTTTACTGACGTTGGATGGATTTAGAGGAGGCAGAAAAAGTTATATCCGTAATGTGATCGATCCATCTGATAACGGGACACAAGCTCCAATTTACTGATATCTCGGCCAGTTAAACCGATTCCAAGTGACACATGATACATCATGTGCAATTAGGCGTTGGCCAAACTTAGTGGCCCCCGTACTCTTAAGACTGGCACAGAATAGAACTAATGGTGTTTATGGTATAAGTCCACCGTATCTGCAATCGAATTGGGCATGCGATGCAACCATTTTGATAGACGAGGTGCTTCGGGAGATATAGCCATCTCAGTCGATGGTGATGTATGTTTTCACCAATTTTGAATACTGGAGCAGGTTAGAAAAGGATCGAAATCCCCACAACTTTGCAAACTGCAGATTTATCGTCCAGTTTATAGCTTGATATGCCGCAACCCACACAAGCTTTTGAGGGGTATCTCGGCGGTTTTATCGTAAGATACTTATTAGATCTCTCAATAGGATGCAGGATCAACTTAAAACTCGACGTTTTCCAGAACACTAGACCTGTGAATGAACAAAGTCTTTTAGCCTTGGCTTTATATGAATTATTCGCTAGAACAATTCGCATCGAATATCTTGTCCAAACTCAACGACGATCAGTAAAATCCGAACCGAATGCGAGAAACTTTAACTCGGGTATCCCCCTTCAGTTGCTCTTACCACTTGATAAGTTCCAATTTAAGCCGTAAAGCCGGCGAATCCTACAGCCTACATAGTGAGATGACGGTATGGGAATGTGGTATGCGGGCACGAAAGCCTGTCATCGCACTGTGATCTGGTTCCCATGATGTAGATACTTCCTGCAGCAGCCTCATGCATAAGCTCCCATCTTACTCGAATGGAGTGAACAAGTTCCGTCCGGGGCACTCATCCCATCCCCAATCTCCTCACTTTTGCTATCTCCAACCCGGAGTCTCCAGGATTCAGCAACTTTATCTGTGTGATCTTCTCCCAATTTAACGGCATGGTGGATCTTACACTGACGCGTACCCACGTGGGCAAATACACCCTCAATGTTTAAGCCCGTTACCATGATTGGTGTGATTATCACCGTTTTGTTTCCAGAAAGCTGTTCAACTCGAACGCTTATAGGACCTTCAATTGCGCTTATTGACTTAAATTGTGAAAAAGAAGGATGATTGGCTGATTTATTAGATTTGTGATAGCTTTGTAAGGCGAGGTGAACGGATATCGGCACAGATACGGGGTCTTCAAATTGGGGTTCTCCAAGGTTGATAGTCGCTTAAGTATCGAATATCGCTCGTCCCCAAAAATGGGGGTTATTCAGTGCCGTTTCAACATCCGAAGCGGCTTTAAGACGAGAAGTCACCAAATTGTAGTATTTTGTAGGAGAAGACTTCGATGGTTCTGTTGGAGCTTGGTTGGTCTTGTTGGTAAGTTGTTACTTCGCGCTAGGTGCGGGATGTTCTTTTGAGACGTTGCTTGATTTGGGGATACTTGTTACATTATGTGACTATCAACTGTAAAGATACTCGGATGTCGATCCTATGATCCCATTGTCGGGACCGAGAAATATTGAAGGTCGTTTGCCATACCGACCCAGATTGGTCTGCACCTTTCTCGACCAACTTCTCCCTCTGGGAAAGAAAACAAAAATGAAGCAATCTCGAAATTCTATGCTCATTCTTCGAATATCGGAACGAGTTTTCGACATCTATTCGTATAGTGCTAGTTGTAAGATCTATCTAGGAAAGTGAAGTCATCCCATTAATATATCCTGAGAGTTCAGACCCGGAAACTGGACCTGATCTGAACCCCTTCATTCTATGAAGAGTCAGGATTCGAACCCTTTCAGTAACTTTGGTCTCCATTAATATTTCCTGAACGTCTTCACCACAAAGTCTCCACCGGTATCGAGTAGTCAGGGTTTCTCACAAAAGAATAAGAATCAGCAAACACGCACTAGAAGGCTCTTGACCGCATACCGCAGGATCTAGTCTCTCCTCGCTCAACCTTCCACACCAGGCAATGTTGGTGTATTATCCACCCCGACGAACCTTGGGGTTGGAAATCACCCCATCTGGAGAGAAAGGGTCGAATAGCTATGGAGTCAATCTAAATCCACCGCCCGCAAAATGTTAATTAACAGCCTCCAATGACTTGCGAATGTGGAATTTGGCGGGTTTGGGAGTGTTACTTGAGTAGACGGCGCAATTGTTAGAACTATTGAGGAAAATTCGATGTTTGTCATTAAGAATTTAGATACGCGCGCTTAGTCGTTGATGTCGTTGAAGGCCAAGAAAAACTTGTGGATGTTTAGATGACCAGTAGCGCGCCTGTTGACGGGTGGCCTGCGGGCGGAGCCAGCTTGACGGTTAATAGGCCAAAGTCTTGGGTCCCTCACTGATCCGTATTATACACTGTCATCCTCATCCTTACTCACAATTTGTTCCGTAGCCTTGGCACATGATGGAGCGGTAAACTTTCTGGGTTAGTGCTATCATATCATATCCCTGTAGGTGGTTGCGCGCGCGAGGCTCTAATGCAGAACGAAGGAAATTGCGCTGGGAATGCTTTCCCCTTGAAATGTTCGTTCACGCGCAGCACTGTAGGCAGTTGGAAGTATATGTGAAGGCTTCCATTTCCCCCTTCTCCTCTTGTCAAAGATCATCTTCATTACGTCTTCATCGGGCCTCGCATCCCCTTCATCTCCTCCCGCCAATTGTGGCTTTATCAAACTTCCACGTCGACGACAATGGCCATCATGATAGAAAAGGGGGCTCCGAGCCAATCGCTCGGTGCTCGACAGAATGCAGCAAGAGCTCATGGTCTCATGGGCATGTTGAAGAACCCTTATGTCTTCTTGACATGTTTGTTCGCATCATTGGGCTGTATGATTTATGGTGAGTACCAAATCAGTCCCACTACCAGTCCCTGTCGAGAATGATGAACGCTTACTAACGCATGGTCGACCACAGGTTACGATCAAGGAGTCATGTCCCCAATCCTGGTTATGGAGAACTTTCAGAACGAATTCCCAACTCTCACCATCATCGACACTTCAAGGATGGCTTGTAGCTTCCCTTGAACTTGGTGCATGGTTCGGTGCTCTTTTCAACGAATACCTCGCGGAGAAGATATCAAGAAAATATAGTATGATGGTTGCCATGTTGATCTTCACACTCGGTACTGATCTCCAAACTGGGGCTCAAAACCCATCATATTTTTTTCGCTAATCGTATCATTGGTGGGTATGGGTATTGGTATGTTTTCTATGGTCAGTCCACTATACGAAGCAGAAATCGCACCCCCGGAGCTCGGAGGATCCTTGGTCTCACTTCAACAACTCTCCATTACCATTGGAACTACCATTGCTTTCTGGCTTGACTTCGGCTTCTCCTTCTCCTTCTCCTTCTCTGGAGGTAACAAGTGCAAGCCAGAGGGCATCACAAACCCATATCTCGCTAATGGTACCTATAATGCCGCTGCAAATTATGGACACTCTTGCACTGGTCAAAATCAAATCTCCTGGAGAGTCCCATTAGCATTGCAATTGATTTCTGCTTGGACTCTTTTAATCGGCATGTTTTTCTTCCCATTCTCTCCTAGATGGTTGATGCTGAAGCATCGTGAAGAAGAAGCTATTGCATCTCTCTGCAAACTTAGACGCCTCGACGCCAACGATCCATCATTGCGGGCTGAATTCCTTGAAATTAAGGCTGCTGTCATGTTCGACGAGGAGACCCAAGCTGAGCAAGTCGGACAGGGTGGAATGTTGACCCCTTGGAAAGCATTGTTCGTCCCTTATGTATTCAAGAGAATCTTCCTTGGATGTGGTATGATGGTGTTCCCAACAATTTACCGGTATCAACGCCGTCTTGTATTATGCTCCGCAGATTTTCGCCAGTTTCGGATTCTCCAGTACTACTACCACACTTCTCGCTACTGGTGTCACTGATATCTTGCAAGTCCTCTTCACTTTGCCAGCAGTCTTATATCTCGATAAGTTCGGCCGTAAGACTTTCTTCATCGCTGGTGCTATCGGTATGTATATCTGCCATATCGTTGTAGCTTCTATTGAGGGTGTTCATGAAGACCAATGGAACCTCAATGAAGGTCTTGTTGTCACACAAGGATGGGTCGCTATCGTATTCATTTCGCTATTTGCCGTTAACTTTGCCTACTCCTGGGGACCAGTCACCTGGGTTCTCGCTCAGGAGATCTTCCCGGCCAGTGTTAGATCTCGTGGTGTCGCCCTTGTCGCATCTACCAATTGGATGTTCAACTTCATCATCGGCTTGACCACTAAAGATATTCTCGGCTCCATGAAGTATGGCACATACATCTTCTTTGCTGTTTTCAGTGCTGGAGGTGGTTTTTTCATCTGGAAGTTCTTCCCCGTAACCAAGGACAAGACATTGGAGGAACTCGATGTGTACTTCGGGGGGAGCATCGACAGCATTGCGGCATCAGACAAAGCAAGAATGCAAATTATCAACGAGAGATTTGGCCTTACTATTTCCGAAAGCCTCGAAGATATCAAGATAAGCAATGAGGAGAAGGTTGCTACAATCACTCACCAAGAATTGTAGAGAAGTGCGTTACAATCAAGTGTGAAGCATAGGAATTGTTGGACCTGCATTTGGCAATGGCAACTGGTCTGCATGAGATAATGACGATTAACATTTGGAATGAAATAATGAGATAAATTCCAACCAGACGGCACGAAATGTATGAATGAAGCTGTCCACGTGATACCGCAATACTTTTGCTTGTAGCCAGCTATATGATGCGGAAAGAGTCCTTCAGATTGTCGGGACAAATCACGAATTGGTCGCGACCTTTTCTCGATTCTCTTCAACTGCATTCGCTATCAATCTCCTGGACAGAATCTTATTGAGATGTTCCTATTTATGATTAGGATAATCGAGCAATGACTAGCTTCCTCAACATTCACACACAGATACTAACGTCACCACAACCAACATAACCATGGACAATGTGTTACATATTTTCTTGCGACTCTCACGATATGGGTACTTGATTCTTGTCATGCAGCTTTCAGGGTCACCCATGTTGATACCAGAACAACTCCCCCCCCCCCCCCCGATATTTGGTTAATCCTCGTTAATCCTCCAAATTGCGTGAAAGCAACAGTGCCAGCAAGCTGTGCGGGATATCCTCCCTCTTCGGCATATGGCTCTACAGGTCTGGTACCTTCTTCAGGGTCATCCGGCACTTGGCTTCCTGGCTGCGGGACCACGATCTCAAACTCAGAATTAGGCTCAACTCTCATAAGCTGGCTTAAATGAAAGCTTTCTGTACACAACTCCAATATCTGTTTCCTTAATTTTCGATTTTGGTTGATATTTTGAGGGCTGTTATCGGCTACTCGTAAGGGTTCTAAGAAATTCCACAGAGCTGCCACCAAAGCATTTATTTTTGTTCCGCGATTCTTCGTTTGTAGTCGTTTCGCACACCCTATTGTGAATTTTCTCCATTCAATAATATCAGATTTAAGAGGGTGACTACCTAGGGAATCATTAACAACGGATCAACCTTGAATTAAACTTTATATGACGATTACCTTCAGGAGAGTTTTGCACCCTTGTCTCAAACTCCACAAGTGCTTTTTCTATAGCTCCACTACCATCTTCATCGTCAAGATCAAATGCAGGCTTCAGAAGAATCTTGTCATTCAAGAATTCAAACACGGCCGTTATATTTCTGTTTCTAATTTCCTCCGGACCTAAATTCTTATGACCCCAAATACTGCTCAAGAACACATCTCTTGGTGTTCGTTGACGTCCTTCTATTTCCCTCGGTCTTTGGTCGGAATCCTTAAGTAGGTGGCCAATCTGTTGGGTTTTCCGCCACAATTTGTTGAAATTGAGCACGAAGAAATTATCCATATGTATTGGCCGGGCCTTTGATGATATAATGTACCTGAAAAATCTATTACTCTCCTGCTTCGCCGCTTCAAGCCGTTGCGCACAAGCATCAACCTCCTCTTGCAGTTCCGCGTTATGCTCTGTGAGTCTTGTGATCTCATTATTCAGCGCTTGTACATTTTGAGGGGGCGGATTAGCTTGTGCTAGGTTAGACCGAGCCCGGAGGTTCCTGACCTCTGCTTCTAGTTCTTGGATTCTCCTTTTTGCTTGGATTAGTTGCAATGCTGCTTGATCGCGGCCGCTATTGTCGGATGCTTCTCTTTCTCCCGAGCATATGCTTGGAGTTGGTCTCTCAATTTCTGGTAGTCGCTTCGTAAACTCTCGTATTTTTTTCGGGATTCATCTTTCTCTTTCTCATCAGGACTCATCCCATCCTTCAGATAAACGATTAGTCGCGACAAAAGACGCATCACCAAACTCACAATTATGCAACCCCCAAGCCAAAGGAAGATATGCCGGGCAAGAATGAAACTAACTGGGTCCTTGTGAGCTTTGATACCGTCAGATAAATGTTTCTCAAGCTCGATTTGAATTTGTCCCAGAATCCCGCCTATATATCCCATGGCTTGTTTGACGTATCCTTCATGTTGAATTTCAAGATCATCTATGGATCCGGGAGCCTCCATTTTGACTGATGGCTTCTTTTGAGCGTGGGAGAACTATATATATCTTCCTCGAGCTTGTGGTGCAGATTTTAAGGATGTGAGTGTCGCAATGTGATTATATACTGTTTGTTGGGATTCGAAAAGAAAACCTCCCCCTCAATTTTGGCATGAACAAAGAGACGGTACTATTCAGTCCTTTGTTAGGTATCCTAAACCGTCGAACCTCGAAATCACCAAACAAAGGAATTGCTTTTCACCCACGAGATCTTACAATGTGTATTTCTCATCATGATAACACTTTTCGAGCTTTCTGAAAGCTTGAATATTGACGAGGAGATATTCACCATTTGAATGCGGATTGTTAATTAGACTTGGAATTGATTTACCTGGGTAGCTTTGGAAGTAACAACTACCGTCTCGCTAGATTTTTCGCGACCACCATATGACTGACCACAAGTGCTGGCTTAATTCCCCAAAACTATCCCCCCTCTCTCCATTCCGAGGTTTCCTCGTCTCGTAAAGAGACTCTGACAGCAAACTACTACTGGATACGTAGTCTTGAGAATAGTTTTTCCGATCCGGATCTGAAGACTACGCATTTAGTTAGATTAGAAATAAGCAATAAAATTCAAGATTAGTCAGATGAAACTTTAGTATAATTAAAAGACTTTTATAACTACACTCCCAAGATTACCACATTTAGGTCTAAATTCTATAATTTCACCCCTATACTAATACTATCTCCACCTCTCACCGCCTTCGCACAGACCCCCCCTACAGTCGCTCCGCTCTGTCGGGAAAAGCGACGATTCAAATTAAATATGATGGCAATTCCAATCTTCCATATCATTTTTCTACCACTGCCCAAGCCTTTTCCAACACGATTTTGTCATACAGATCGTCAGCCGGATATCTCACCAAGGCGCCCGAAAGCGCATAAGCAACAATATGTTCCTTCGACTCAGCCTTCTTCCCTTCATGCTTCGTGCTCTCCTCAACCCATGGTTCTGCATCTGCGTCCTTCAACGCTTCCCCTTCTGTTGGAAACTCGCAGCGATATACATCTTTGTGATTCCCGAGCATCATGGTAAGCTTAAAAGCATCAGTACATAGTTGTTTCCACTTGACTTGAAGCTTGCTCCGCTCTGCTTCGTTCGCCGTCGCAGGTTCGGGTCTAGATATCTCAAGAGGTTTCAATAGCTGCAAGATATCGCTAGCGGTCTTGATTGGGAGACAGTAGCGATGTGGAAGGGTTGAATCCGTCGGTTGAAGGCACTGCGCTACTTTCAAAGTAATCATCCTCTCCACTTGGTAAGCTCGGTGCAAGGAGCTAGGATATGAGTGTTAGAAATAAAGCCGACTGGAATGTAAACTGGACATTTTTACATACCTTTGGAATACTTCTCGATCATTTCCTCGAATTTTACGAGCCCATTTTCAATCATATCCTTCTCGTCCGAGCCGTCCACTACCGAAATCCCAAAGCTTGGTCTCAGCAGAACGGAGTCACTTAAACAGCGAAACACGAAAGCCCTGACTCGGGTTTTCAACTCGTTTTCATCAAGGCCGAGTTTACACCAGTCGTAATAGCGCTTGACGAACGTTGTGTCCGTTTCATTTGGTTCTGGAGGGGGGAAGGCAGTTGTGTAATATTGGCAAACGATGCGATGGATTTGATCCCTCAGCTTTCTGAACTGTGCAGTTATGACGGAGTCATTCATATCCTGCCCAATATCCCTCTTTTGAATCATATCTCGGATCCTGGCAGCTTGTTGTTGATATCGTTTGCGTAGTTCCTCGGATGCTTCGAGCTTCTGGCGCAATCTGGTGTTGTCTTGCTGCAAGCTTCGAAGATCATTAGATGTATTTTGAACATACTCTTGAAACTCTTTGGTCTTGTGAGTTCGGCTTTTGAATCTTTCGATCTCATTTTGTTGATCCTGAATCTGCTTTTCATTGGCGACCCGAAGAAGTTTCAGATCTCCCAAGGCTTTCTGTTTTTCGACTCGTAATTGATTGCTCTCCCGAGTAACAACATCGAGGCGATCCTTCAAACCCTTGCATTCTGCGTATAATTGATCCACCTTGTTGGCAGTTTGTGTAAAATGTTCTTCTACTGCATCCCCACACTATCATTATTAGCACCACGGATCTCAAAAGTAAAAGCTGTGCCAGAGTCTTTACTTAGTAAAAATCTCAAAACTCGGCGGATCAAGCTAGGTTTGGTACTCGCCTTTTCCGATTTCAAGGATGCGAGCGTCGCAATCTGATCAGTGTTGCTAATTTTTCATTTATGATGGGAACTTCCATGTCATGGTCCAAGAGGCGGAGAGTATTATCGTCTGGTTATTTGTTGGACATGGACATTACGTTGTGACAGTTTATTCTTATTCCGGAATGGTATTGAACTTTCAAAACAATTGACAAAGCAATGGGTCATTCGAAAATCTCTCAAATTATCACTTCAATTCTCTCTGACAACAATCTAAATACCCATCCACCACCTGCATACGGAGGCCAACACTTTCTTCTGGATTTTCTCTGACGTGGCGTTCAATCATACTTCGCCTCAACACTACCCATCTCCTCGCCATTGACCTCGAGTGAGAACTTCATCACGGCCGATGCAACAGTGACTACCAAATCAAAGTGCACATCCCAGCAAGGCGTTCCCAAGAGCGAAGTTCGTGCCCGAAATGTTGCACGATCCACGCTCCGCAAGTCGGCTTCCAAAGTGCAATTTGGCGTGATTGTTGGTCCGGGGTAGATAGGAGCATCAGCACTTTCACATTGAAGTAGTGTTTCCGTGAAGATGAGGTTTCTGTCCGTAACACTGCCTTCGAGCGCTCGATAGAATGGAAATCGTATCTTTTGGTCCCTCTTGAGGTCCTCACCACGATAAATGTACCATGTCATCTAGATTTAAGTAAACCAGTCATGTGTCAAAAGCGCTCTTACCTTTGAAGTTCTCGTGTCTCCGTAACAATCCACGTACGTCGGTCGTCCTCGATATATCTCCTCGTCATATAAATAACCGGTCACTACTCCGTAGTGTCTGGTCGATTGCGTTGAAACAACCGAAACACTACAGGTCTTGTGCGGAAGCCCGCTAAGCACGGCGCCCCTGAAGGTAATTTTAGTGAGCTTCGTACTACCAATTCCCGTCGAAAACTCACTTGACAATAGCAGACCAAGCATCGTGAGGTTGAATTATTTGGATATTCGGGTGACAGGCCCCAATTCGAGACTTGAGGTAGCCTGAAGAGCCAAATCCACCCACAAGGAAGATAGCCTAAGCATAGTGAGCAACAAGTTATGAAGGAAAAAACGCAACGTAAGTATGTATACCTTTATCTCCTTGGGTGTTGGGTGACCTTCAGACATTCGCTTGGTCTTGACCAGATTGATCTGATCATCAACCATTCTTTGGATATCCGCAATCAATGGATCAAAGATTCTTTTCAAATCATCGCTAAATGAGTGTTAATCTTGATGCAAAATGATCATCATGAACTCTTACCATTTCATATTCCAGCAATTCGACACGAGGTTTTTGTTCGTGTTGTCCCGCAGTTTCGCCATGGGGAAATTCAAGAAAAAATCTTCGTCCTCCTGGTCCCGAAAAGCCGTCTTCACGGAAAGGTCGAATTGCTCGACCGCGCTTCTGAAACCCCTAGTCGTGCGTAAAGTTCGAAACTGTTTTTCACCGACAAGCTCCCTGACAGCTTCTTCAAATCGCATGTTCAGACCTAGTGAGCCCGCCATTCCACCTTCATACTGGTTAGTGATTGTTGCGCAGGAGAGAATTGCCTACAGGTAAGGAAGTCGGTACCTTTTCCGGGCACGAGTTCCTTCAGTTCAAGCTTGGGCGCCAGTTGTGTGATTTCGTATGATATGAGATCTACGGTTCCACCACCGGCGTCGCAGATGACAAAAGCGTCGCCAACCTGTTGTGAGTGTCAGAAAGCGCTGGTATGTATCAAAAGAAGTATCGTACAGAAAGTGCTCTTTCTTTTAACGTGTGGAACATGTATAATGCAGCAGCTTCTGGTTCCTTGATGAGAGTAACTGGGTGAATCTTCGCCCGCTTGGCCGCCTGTTAAAAGAAAAGTATCAGCTTGTGTCGTAATACTCATCTCCAGTACATTACCATCAGAGTCAAATCCTTCGCCTTATCAGACCAAACAGCAGGAACAGAGAGCACAAATTGTTTCTGGCACATCTCAAGGTAATCCTTGGGGATCTTGTCTTCGATAACAGTCATGGCATGCTCATACATGGCTCCGATGAAATCAGCAGCGACGTCTAACGCTGGCTTACCCAAAAGCCTAAGATCATTACCCGTGCTTGCAAATGGGGGGTAGACAGGCTTGTCTTGGGTGGGGTCGAAGAGTAGCTTCATGCCGCGGATAATTTCATGCTTGTGGGTTTGGGCTCCCCACGTAAAGCTCGAGTCACCTTTCGGGCCGTAACAAATTACGGTGGACACTTTGGGTTGGTAGCGGCCTTCGAGTCTTATATTTCGTTAGCAGTCTTGCTAATGCGTTGTGAGGGGGAAGGGAAGAACGAAGAACGGGAGATTAGACATGAGGATATGTCGGAGATTAGGAAGGAGGCTGAAAATGGCTAAAGTGAAGGAAAGTAGAACGGGTGTGGGATAAAAGAGACGGAGTTACCTGGCCAGTCTAAAATCGAGGTAAGTTCCGGTTTATCCTCCTTTGTGAATGCATATGCAATGCCACTGAACGTAGTACCAAAATCTAACGCGATGACAAGTTGATCGTCGGATTGGTAAGCGTTCGCCGCATGATAAATATCGAGATCACTACCTGCGTCGCTTGTATCTGAACACATGATGGCGGTTGAGATTGCAAGGAAGTAAAGTTGAGGTGTATTGTTGTGAGGTTATGAAAATGAGACGTTCTTATGGGTGAGAATTCAGACAATGAACGTGAGCGCCGATGAATCACGCAGCTTCTGTTATATTAGGTCTTTTATCTGCAAGAAGAGTGAGATCAGGAAGATATTCAGGGAAGCAAATAGTCAATGCCACCACAATTCAGCCTGTTACATGCAATTTTTGATGTTCCGGTAATTAGACTTCTGTAAACGTCTGGTGGTTTCTGCTGAGCTGCGTGTTGAAGTCATTTTCTAAACAATTCGAAAAGATGGAACTTATCAATGGCTCTTAAAGTCTCAACGATTCATACCAACTCATGAAAACCCTAGAAGAGTGAGTATTTGTTCCGTATAAGTCATAGAACACCTTCATAAAGAAGCCTCTAATTGCTTTTGTGCAAAATCGCTTTTTGATATGCAAAGTTCTGCAGCCTCTTTACCTAGACAAACACTGGCGAATTGTATTCGGCTCTTGGCATAGTCATACACAAATTCCTCCAACTTCTTGCTCTTTCTTTCGGGATTCTGGAGTTGATTGAATGGAACCTGGTGAGAGAATAGCAGTGTACAAGTAAGTACAATATTCAACCTCTAAATTGGTGAAATTTTCAAGAGCAATTCTTGGCAAAAGTCATCTATCTCGCGACAACCAGAAATGGATCAACGAAATCGTGAGGCGAAAGAGCAACGAAGTCATTCTCGAAATCTGCCAGAATCATGGTCAGATATGCAAGACGTTCAATATTCGGAAAATGAGATGGCTAATTATTATACACAAGCGCTTGAGAGTATCCAAGTCCTTGAGAATGCATATATCGACTTCAAGGGCAACCTAGATAAGGGCTTCATTCAGGTAAAAGACAATCTCCAATACGAGACGCAGTTAAATGCGAGTTTCGGTACCAGAAACCACATGTCCCTTTCCCGAGCGGTGCGTACAAGTACAATCTCCAGGCTTTAGTATCTGGAACTGATAGACATAGGTGGGCAAATTATTTGGTGGCTCCCGACCAAAACTTGCTCAGAACAATAAGAAAACTCGCGAGCTACCTGGCGAGCGACGAGATCTGGAGAGTCGAATAAAGGCACTCGCCTCAGAGAAAGAGCAATTGAGAGCCGTAATTGTCAAATTGCAAAACGATCTGAAGCAAATGAAGGAAAACTTTGAGCACGAGTCTCGAGCACGAAAGAACAGCATTGCCAACCTTGAGAGCGAAAAAGAGAGATGTACACAAATATACCATGGACTAAGCAAAAAATACGGAGATTTACGCCAATTGCATTCTAATACAGTTGAATCCCTAGAAACAGCCGAGAACAACAATAGGAAAGCCCATACTCAACTCGCCAAATATCGAGATATCATTACAAAGGAAGATGATGCGTCGTCGAGTGAACCGGACGATGCTACAATAACACATGCTTTTCGAAGCCTTGTTGAGGGCATCCAGCGTATCATTCTGACCTTCTACACGGTGGACATCTCCCCAATACAGCCGACAGTGCCCACGCTTGATCAAATGAATCTTCTCGACCTCTGCCAGAGTCATAAGAGCGCATCTGAGATACAAAATAGAATCAGAGGAATAGCATTCCGCAGTTTGTGCAATCATCTCCTCTTGCAGGCCTCATTCGGGCTAGAGGAGATTGATCAGGGGGGGGGGGTTTGAACAGGGGCTCAGAAACTTCGAACGCAGGTTTAAAAGTTCCACTTCAGGTTTGTTGATTCCCCTTGTGTCATACTGCGTCGGTTCTGACAATCAGTGATCAGATGCCCGAGCACAAGCCGATTTCACCACTTGGAGAATAGCTACACTCAGATGCGCAAAGTCGATCCGTACTAGAGATTCACCTCACCCAGCATACTTTGCTGAATATCTCAAGTCAACCTTAGACCCTATTCGGATTCGGAATGAGAACGGAGCTGTGAATTTGGCCGAGGAGCAGAAGCTTGACGCGCAATTGATGCGGTTGTGCACCGATGCATTTAATCTTTGAATGACTTTGCGGGGCTGCAGGGATACTTATCTTTGCGAAATTCCGGAGTGTGAGAAGGTCATGAATCCCGAAGAGGCGGAACCACAATGTGAAGAGAAAAGACATGAGTCTTGTGTTAGGAGGGGCAAAGAGTACATTGTGGCGTATGCACTTTCGGGTACCTTGGTAAGAATTCCGGAACGCAATCCAGAGAATAGGGTCATCTTGCAGAAAGCCTTGGTAGTGCTGGAGTGTGATTGAAGGAGTTGGAATCAACATCGCCGGCTTGGTCCCAGCTTTGATTATTCTTAGCATCGTGGCGTGGATTTGGAACCTAGATTCGATGTCTCTTCCAGAATGAAATCCCTTGTGGCCCATGAATCTACTATTCACCATCCTGTTGTTGAGACCTTGTAGCTATGGACAATTTAGTCGCAGGTTTATGTTAGAGCTTTCGAACAGGAAGAAAGTTCAAGGTAGATGATGACTTTCAGTGTAACGTAAATGAGTATCCCCTTGATCAAGAGTGCCAGGTTCCTGAACTTGCCCTGAACTTGCACAGACCCATATTCCAGCAAGACAATAGCGCTTTAATACATATACAGCTTTAACACTAATCTCACATATACACCGCATAAAATTTACGGTTTGGCATGTTGCCAGAGTGGTTAATGGGTAAGACTTGAATGAATAATTCGGTTATCTTATGGTTTCGGCCTCGTAGGTTCAAATCCTGCACATGTCGTTGTGTATACTTTTGCATCTTTTTGATTCCATACAGTTTGAAATGTTTTGGAAGAGCTTTTTTCGGTTGAGGAGGTTGTTTGTTTTTGGCAAGTTGTGTTGTTGTGGGCAGTTAGTTGATTGTGGGCTGTGGGGCACTGGGTAGGGATAGATACGGTAGATACGGTAGATACGTAGAAACGGCATGCTCAGCCCCGTAAATTGTAGTGGAGTTGGGGAAATTCTTAACGCCGCAGGATGGTGAGGAGTTAAACGTTAAACGCCGAAATATCCAGCATTTTGCATTTTGTTATCGCCCTTTTTGACGCGGGCGTTAAGATGATATTCGACATGTCATAACTTTTTCAGATTATTGGTAATGTTCCGTTCTGTTTTGGTATATTGCTGCTTCGATCGATCCTGTTCTGGTAGCTTGGCTCCTTCGATGTCCTGCTTTGAAGGTTTCGCAAAGGTAAGTAAGTGGAACTGGGGAGGTACAGTATTGCATGTGTCTACATCTAGAGTAGACTAATGCTTTCATGAAACCGAATTACTGGCTGAAGGGTGTTGGTTGAGCTGATGTTGGTTGAGCTGGTGCAGGATGCTGGATGCTGGATGCTGGCCGTAAGAACTTCAAAGTGATACATGGCATGTTCGTTCTCTCTCAAGATGACTTTGCGAATTTGTCGACGGGAACAGAAAAATAGTAAAGCAAGACCCTATATTATATACATAATGGGGCATGTATGATCAAATTCAAAAGCAATCCCCTAAACCCCCAAAATATCAGATGTCTCTACTGTTCTGTTATGACGACTTAGTCGAACTGAACCCCGGCATAGCATGCATGATATAACACTTGTAATATTATTATATATACTGAATACAGCTCTACCATGGACTTCCAAGGATCGATTACTTGGTCAATTGAGGCGGCAGCGAAGCACAAATGTATGGATGGGTAAGTAAGAACATATAACAAAGAGGACATCTACTCTGGAGTAGATACATTCGATTCATACAATCAATTAGTTTAGTAGTTCCTTGAAGACAGCATATAAGTGTCGAGATGAAGTAAGTAGTAGGTAGCATGGAAGAAAAAGGACGAGATGCTGTATGGCAATAAATGTAGATATTGTTCAAGATGAATTGAATGTAGCTTTTCAATCAAGAATGATTGTGATTATCAATTAATTTTCTGTCTTGTTATATGTAATGTGTGATATTTATGGTTGATGAGGTTATGATCTATAAAATATCAGACGCGATAATTGATGGGTTGATGGGTCGGCTTTCGCGAACTTGATTTTCTGAACAAAACAAACCACAAACCACAAACCTCCTCCCCATCACCTTACCACAAGTCCTCGACAACACTCTCGTTCGCAACCATATACACATCTCCTTTCACCATCATCGCCATGGCCGATACCGAAATGGATGTCGATGTCGATGTGCCTTCGTCACCGCAAGAGCAACGAAATGACCCCAAAAATGCTTCCATGACAACTCATTCGAATGCGACAGCTGTACGATCTATCGAAGGCTGGATCATCATCGTCACAAATGTACACGAAGAAGCGAGCGAGGAGGACATCAATGACAAATTTGCAGACTTTGGAGAGATCAAGAATCTTCATCTAAACCTGGACAGAAGAACAGGATACGTCAAGGTGAGCTCATACATTTACATTTCATGGAAGGGTTTGGACCAATTTGGCATTCACACCTGGGGAATGATAAGACAAAAACGGGCAGCTAATGAATGTATGTCTGCGAATAGGGTTACGCCTTGATTGAATATCCAACATTGGATGAGGCAAGAGCCGCTATTGATGGTGCGCATAATTCCAAGTTGCTGGAACAGACGGTTGAGGTGGACTTTGCATTTGTTAGACCGCCACCAGGAGGAAAACCAAGAGGAGGTCGGACACCTGCCAAAGGTAGAGCAAGAAGCCGAACGCGCAGTCCAACTGGTAGAGACGGGGGCGATTGAATGAGTGCAGGTGATGATATTGTGCCACATGAATGATTTCTAATCATAAAGGTACATCATCAAGGGGGCGATGGAAGAATTGAAATCTGGGGAAATTGGCAGGGAAAATGGAGGAGATTTAGAAAAGCAAAAGAGCTACTTTATCTAAAAGCCGATATGTTTTATGGGAAGAAACACGTCGGCGTATATCCAAATCATTGTGATTGTAAGTTATCTTTTTGCCTTGTAATCGGGGTAGAATGTCGACTAATGATCTATATTTAGTATTGGAATACCAAAAACAATTATCATTGAATATTCTTTGAATTCTTCCAGCGTAACGAGTTCGAGTTTGTGTCTGAGCCACCCCGCGAGGATTGATTGTTACATCTCCGAAGTTTTGATCAAATTGTTGGACATCGCCGAGAGACCCAACATTTTTTCTTCCTTTCTTTTACAAAAACAGTTGACTTTGCAGAATTCGAAAGGACGGACCCTACTCATTACATTTATCCCAAGAACCTAGTGGACCCTACATTCAGAAAGAAGAGTCTCTTCTGATTCGGACAAGATTGTATGGTTGGCTGACCAAGACTGATGTGAGCGAACCTCCCCCCCTGGCACTACATAACCCCTTGACATGTACCAACGATTTTGCTTTCCAAACAGACAAGCCCTTATCCGAGAATCCCATCATACCCTGACACCTACGGTCTACATTTCAGACATCCTTGAATCTTAGGGGGGGTCATGCACGCATATCTGTCGATCTAACAACACCACTCCCTGACAGCTGTTTAAACAACAACTTGGACCACTACTATATAAGCAACCTGTATCACCAGACACCTTGGATCCTTATACTACTCCATTCTGTACAGTGTACAGTATAGTTACATATATACACCGCTACACAACTAACGTAGAAGATCATAGAAATATCTTCATACATTCAATACCTTCAATTGCAATCATTGCATATCTTCTTACTTTCTAAACAACTCATACCACTCTCACCTCGGTGAACCAACATCACAATACAATACAATACAATGGCTCGTACATTTCTAGATACTCTCCCAAGAGAGATTCGCGATCAAATATACGGCTACGTTTTATCATCACACTCAAGGAGTGTCTATCTATCCGAAAGTGTCGTCAATGACCCCGACCACCCTCAAGAAGAATACTCGGCAGCTGGCACACCTCCATACATTATACGAACCAAATCTCATGGCGAAACTATACGTCTCTCCTTTCTCCGAACCTGTCGTCAAATCTACCAAGAAGCAAAAGTTATTTTCTGGGAGCAGAACTCACTTATCCTTGATGGCATCCTACCTCGAACATATATCGACCACCCCATATTAGGCAGCCTACCAGGCTCGATAGCCTCAATGGCCACCTCCGTCGAGCTCAAGATAGATATATTAGGTCGTTCAGCTTTCCGTAGGAAGTCTGATCTATGCGAAGATAGCCCCTCTCTTGTTCCATTCGAATATCAACTGAAGGATTTGGCACAATGGCCAAACTTGAAGACAATCAAATTACATATGAGCCTTGGAGAAGATCCATGGGGCAACTACGATGGATATGGGCATAGTGGATTCGCAAGATTACTCTACTGGAGACTCAGAGGTGGATCAAACGACCATTGGCATAACTTGGTACGATCAAACATCAAAGCATTAGAAGAAGCTGGCGGGAAAGATGGGTATCTATCTCACGTCAAGAAAGAATTGGATATCAACACAGGTTGCGCACTTCCCAATGGCAACGGCTTCCCTCAGCGAATGCTAAAGACGAGCACCGGATCTCCCCGAGAAGTACTACAAGAACTCAGCGAAGCATGGTTCGGCACTCTCTCAATAGACAATCGACTATCCTATCTCGAAGGCGAAGAAAAAGAAAACATGTTTGTGCAACAACCAGCACCACGTCTACCCATGCTCGACCATTTCTTCTTCTTCAAATACGATATCGATCGCTGGGTCGATGGCCAATCAGGCGTCAGGCTATGGGGCAAAGCTAAACAAATTTGGCCCGCGGGCGAAGAGGGAAAACAGGCAAGGAGAGATGCGTGGGTTGATTCGGGTAGAATGGGTTGTTCGTTTGATGTTATGCGCGAAATTCATTGGCCGTGGAAACAAATGTCGGCGCAGGACTTTGTTCCGTGAGGCTCTGGATTTGGTTTTTGGTCATTGGTTTCTGGATGGTGTGGTGTTGTGTTGTGATGTGATGTGATGGGTATCACGAATCTCTTTATCACTCACTGTATTACGTACTGGATCGGTCTTGTGAAGTATATCCTCAGCTAGGCGTTGTGGAATTTGGGGGTTTATTAGTATAGTAGTAAAACATATTTTTATATTTTTTAAGTTTTAAGTTTATGTTTATATCTATATCTTCAATGCAATGCAACACAGTACAATGCAATCTGTCCTATCATATTCTCTTCTCTTCTCTTCTCTTCTCTCCTCTCCTCGACTTCCTTCCTCAAAATTTTTATATTGGGAAATGAAATGTACTATTGTTATTACCATTGTTATTACCATTGTTATTGTTGGTTTACTGTTACTGTTATTACCACTACAGATCCCGTTATTGGCTACTCGTACAGTAGCATCCGATGTTACTCGTATAAGTTTGTATACACCATCTACTGTTTATTCAATTGTGTATTCGGATATGAGTGTGTGTGTGGAATGTATGTATGGATTGTATGAGTGGATTGTATGGATTGTATGGGGTATGGGGTATGGGTATGGGTATGAGTATGGATTGTAGGTATGGATTGTAGGTATGGATTGTAGTGTGAGTGTGAGTGTGTGGATTGTAGGTATGAGTGTGTGGATGGATTGTGTGAGTATATGTGAGTGGATTGTAGGTATGAGTGTGTGAGTGGAATGTGTGGATTGTGTAGGAGTTCTGAGGAGGGGGTGTGAGGATGGGGGTGGTGAGAGGGTGATGAGAAGGGATTGGTGAGGTGAGGGTGTTGAGGACGGATTGGTGAAGATAGAGGAGGGATTGTCGAGAGGAGGCATGATAGAAGGGGGTGGCGAAGAAAGATTGAAGAGGGGAGGGGAAGTGATGTGGTGGGATTGGTGAAGATTTTCGAGAAGGGGGTATAATGGGACATGGGTATGGATATGGAGTATGGGTATGGATATAGCTAGCCTAGTGAGCGAAATGAAGGGAGGACATGATAGGATGAGATGACATGAGACATGGGTATGGTGTGGTATGGTATGTGTGGTGGGGTGGGCGGGTGAAATACGGCCGGGACCCGAGTGGGGTTGGAGTGTAAGGTAGGTAGGTAGGTAGGTACCTGGCTCGAATAGGAGGGTTGGAAGGGTTGAAGGGTAAGAAAGAGTCTTGCCTTGAGAGTACGATATGGCATTTATAATTAGTATAGTACAGCTGTTAGTACTCGTAGTAAGTTTGGTAATTTAGTAGTTTCAAAGCTGGAAGTTGATATTGTACTGTGCCATGTACCGAGTGTAGGAACCAGGGTAGGTAGGGTTTATAGAGGATAGATTAGGTGGTAGGGGGATGGAGGATGGGGGATAGGGGATGGAAGGGAAGGGAATATTATTTCTGTAGGGGTTCTTGCAGTACTCGTGGTAGATATTGATGGATGCGAATGCTGATGCGAATGCTGATGCGGATTAGTTAGCTCGCTAGCTAGGTACCAGGTCTGTGAGTGATAAGGCTAGGCATCGGTAGGTAAGAGATCCGATTTATCTACTGTACGGAGTAGTACTGTAGTTCGCTCGCTAGTGAAGGCGTGGAATTCCAGTTTTATTGTATGTTATGGGATAGGAGGGAGGAGGGAGAAGGAAGGAGGAGAGTTTTGGGACGGGAAAAGGAACGGGGATGGAGATGTATTGGGTTAATTCGAATTAAATTCGATTTGATCAGATGATGAAGATTGGAGTTTGGATAGTATAACCTTACCTCATGAACCATGACATACCTAACTTGTAGGCTGTCGATGTTGAAGATATATCGGTATGTTTATTCTTCCAAATTAGATTTGGTGTATAATGCACACGGCCACAGTCATCTGCCACCTGCCACCTGCCACCTTCTATTTTCACCCAAGCCATCGGCATTCGGACACAACATCAAATTGAAATTCAAAGTCATAACCTTACAGTATCTTCACGTGCATTAACAATTCAACAACTCGGCTTGATCTTGAAAATCGTTCCGTGCTTACAGTACTACTAGTATATATCACATGCTCTGACCCGGCTCCCACCATACATCCCCGGCGAACACCCCCGACGCAAATTCTGGAAATCTCACGCGAATTTTCTTCAACGGAGGAAATGTATACTCTACCCTCATAAATGTTTCCGATCCGACATTTTTAGGCTGATGTTTGTGGAAATCGTGGGGCTTTGGTTCGTTGGTAACTTGTGATTGATCGGCCTGGGATTTAGTGTGATGTGATGTGATGTGATGTGATGTGATGTGATATGATATGATGGTACCTTATCTTATCGGACCCGAGTTGGGTTTGTGCGTGTGTGCGATGAGTGTGGGATCTTCAGCTGGGGATGGGTGTTGGGGGGCCTTGGATGGTTTGGTTTTGGTTGGGATGTATGTGCTTGGGATGATGTGATTGGGAGGGGCTTGGGAGGAGAGTTAGGAGAGGAGTTGGATAGGGTGAGATAAGCTATGGGTGTTTGGGAGATACTAGGATACTGCATACCGATGTATCGACTGGGATGAGGGGGGGGCGGATTGAAATGCTTATACTCCGTATGCATGGAGGGTACTGTGCAGATTGTGCTGAGAGGGCTGAGAGAGCTGGACAAACTGGTGTGGAAGGAGTGAAGTGAACTCGGTGTAACTAGGTTGAAGACTTGAGTACCTACATTGTGTACACTTTACCGATTCACCGAGAGGATAGGTTGATGGTATTGGCTTGGAGGAATGGATTAGAGAACCGGGAAAGGGGGTTTAGATGCTGTCAGCAAGAACCTTTCGAGGCACTACATTTGACGGTAGTGATCTTACAAGTCGTGGAGGTCATGAGATTCAGGATGGAAAGATACCATAGGGTATTGATGATTGACGAGGTCGGCGAGGAAGTCTAGCCGCTTCTTATTTTCGGTCGGTTGGGACGCAGGGGATCGGCGAGGATGCAGCAAGAGATATCCGAGAATCGGCAGTGCACGTTGTGGATCTTGCAGAGCGTGGTGGCTTTGAGACGTTGGTGAAGAAATTTAGCTATCTAGGCTCTAGGTCGAGCCGCACGGAACAGGTCTACCTACACAAGACCGAAAAGTCTTATGTCAGCGTGGTTCATTATCGCTTTGAGGATATGGGCTGAGATGGTTGTGTGGAGGTATGTGGTCGCCAATACTGCTGAGATGGTCCATGTTATGTTGTTTGTGGTGTGCGTACTATCGCGAGTATGCATGCTGCCTCGAGCTCGGAGACTTCTTGGGAACAATTGTCAGTACATCAGCGATGATGAGTCAGAGATGAGAAGGACATGACTTCAAGCTACGACCAAGATCGGTCTTACAGCCACGATCGAAAGTTGGCAGATATGAGATCGCCAGAGCTGCATAATCATGATTTAATATGTTGGTCATGATCTCATATTACTTCGGTAAATACTTTTGAGTCGCATCTAGATGTAACGTGCATTCTAGATTGTTGAACTTCTTCCTCAATCCTTCAATCTTTATCCTCCGCACTCTCCATAACAAAATCTGCACATCTCTCCGCTACCATCACAGCTAGAGCCATAGTATGATGTGAAAAAATCTTGGGAAAAACACAAGTATCCACAATTCTAACCCCTTTACCCCATAAACACGTAACTCATCATCTACCACTTCCGGTACATTTTCATTACTCTCGGAATCCATTCGACATTTACTTGCATAATGACATGGATTTCTTACTCTATGATGTATAAACTTGTCAATCTGATCATTATTTCCATTTTCGACATCGAGATTTTGAAGTTCGGGAGGAAAAGTAACGTTTCGGAGAAGAGGAAATCCAGATTGTCTTCCATGGCGATTGTGGCGAGAGGCATGAGTTCGATATCGGGGGCGGGGTCTTGAGGTCTGGTGGAAGGATGGTGAGGGGATTCGGTAGGTGTGGATTGTGGGGTTTTGCGGGTTGGCCCTTCTTCGATGAATGGTCCTTCGTTGAGGGATTTGGATAGAACAAAATATGTCACGGTTTGGGTTGGGAAACTCATGATTCCGGTGCCGAAGAGAAGATACTTGCCGAATTCGATGACGGCTTTTAATGGGGATACTGCAACTTGAGTGATGGATTCATTCATGGGAACTTCCCATGCCACGGGGATACTTGGATGATTGGCCTGAAGCCACAAGATTAACAAGATGTCATGATATGTATCGAGGAAAGTTGACTCACTAATCCGTAGCCAACACCTGGTAGGTCATGTATCACTTTGATGTTGTGTTCCTCTAGATGTTTATGAGGTCCAATACCGTTAGAGTTACTGATGTAAACTATGCATACTTCTTAGAATGTCGAATCCTAACATAGGTACCTCAGCATCAAAACTTGTGCCGAGCCTAGTGCACCAGAACAAATAATTACTTCCTTCTTCACCTTGACCTCAAGAGTTCTCGTGGACATTGGATCCGTATTTCCAGAGACAACTTTATCAGCGCAAGGAACTCCATCCTCATCCTCATCCTCATCCTCAAACTCAATTCGATGAACGGTTGTGTTAGTACAGATAGTCAAGTTCTTTTCCCTTTGTATTTGTAGAGCAACTTCTCTTGGAACAAAAGAATGGAATGTAGAATTTCATTTTCGACTTTCGGTAGATGTTGTACGTACTCAAGTATAGCATTGCCACTCCATCAATCGGTGCTTCTGCCACGTTTGCATCGGAGATCCGGGAGAACCCCATTGTTTCGGCTGCATCTGCAAATCTAGTTTGTCATTGATATATTATCCCGAGAGAATGACGAGGAAATACAATACTCACGATCTTTGCGCTCTCCACGGCGAATCCTAATTACCAACCTGCTTCATAATCCACAAGTCCCTCGGTTCCCATCCTTATCCCCTCCACCCCCTTCTCCCCAACAACCCTCTCACTCCTCCTTAAATACATCTCCAAAACCTCCCACCCCCAATTCTCTCACCCCGCAGTTTTTCCTACCCATTTCCTTCCATCCCTCATAGTTTCTCCTAGGTCTTCGCGTATATACTTCACTATCTACTCTACTCGCTCCACTTAATACATCTGCTCGGAACACTAGACTTTGTCTGTTATCACACTGTGTCATTGGTTTACATGGCCGGGGCTTGGTTCCTGTAGAGGCATCGAGGATATTGGCGGAGAGAAGCGGGATGCGCGAGATGCGCGAGATGTAGGTATGGTTTGCGGTGCCGCATCCGAGGAGGAGAATTTTGGTTTTGGTATTCGGGGTTGCGCCGCCTGGGGGTAGGGTGTGATCGTGGGGAGTCTTTAAGAGGGGGGAAAATGTCCAAAGGACGAACCTCCGATGATTATGTAGTTATATTCTTCAGAATCGGCGTCTTCGGGGCTTTTCTCGGGATATTTTGGAGAAGAGGGCCATGGCATCTTGATGGAACTTGATATATCTCAAAATCTGAGAGTCTGACGCACAAAAGTGTGAATCTGAGACGGAAATGAAGGAATAATCGGAGTGCGAAGAAATGTCCAATCAAGGAATAACAAAAAGGATCGAGGTGAATGAGGTGAGAGAATACTTTCCTCGCACCTTGATACTGCTCAATAGTCCATTGTGATATAGTGAATAAACGTTTGAATTTGTTGGCTGACTGTTGGTTGAGTGGTTAGGTGGTTAGATTTACCAATAAGCCTATTCCAACAAATAACTTTGAGCTGCAGTCATCAAACATCAGTCTCATTTTAGATAGATACTTGGCTATTTTTGAGAATTTGTTTTCATTTAAATTGTTCAGTTGCATCAGGGTGATGGGGTTGTGAGAGATTTAAAGTTAGATGTTTGTATTTTCAAAGGTGGTGATATATTCTAGTGACTAGATATGAAGTAAGGTTATCTGGTAGACAATCAATTCTTAACAATGTTGGTATTCTTATATAAACAATCCGAATTATTGATAGTATTGATGAGATATTTAACGCCTTGTAAAGTCTAGACTCTAGATTCAACACTCGTATTAGTCAAATGATATATCTATATCTAGGACTTCTTCGAAAAGCCAAATCATATGATACTCGAGTAATCTAATTCAAATAACGATAAAGCTAATTACAAAGGTTTTAATCTAATTAATAGATTAAATCTGATATACGACGAAGCAATAAAACTATCGAGAGCGTTAAATAGTTGTAGAATAAATGATCGAAGTTTTCATCGAATTAGTAGGTCTAAATCAACCAATCAAAAATGCAAATGTGTACATGATCCTCGAGAGAAAGTTCTCTTAATATGGGATAAAAATCGCCCTAAATTTTATCAACAATTCGCGATAGCGTCGGACAGTTGGCCGAGTGGTTATGGCGCCAGTTTCAGGTCAACCTGATTCACATCTGCTCTATAGCATACTGGTTTCTTACGATTCGGGGGTTCGAATCCCCCACTGTTCATTTTGATATTTTGGAAAAATTGAATTTTACAAGTACCGGGTATCATTAAACTTTTAGGATTCTCCCTTCATTTGTTATTTTTTTCCAGCGGGAAAGCAAATCTCGGCTATTGTAAGTCTTAGATGATGGTCCAAGCTTTATCTGGTATGGTGGATCACAGCGTGGCCCTCTGAACAGCGCCGTAATTTTTACATATGGGTATTCTAACCACCGATTCGTGATAAATCAGTGCGCTGAAAGGATGTTGAATCTGATGGGCTGAGACTGGTGCTATACAAATGGTCGGGGCAAGCCATAGACATTACCGCTCTCTTTCTCTACGATAATACACTCTCCATCCATCAGTGTGGAAGTAGGACGCAGCTGACTTACAATACCAGTAATTTATAATTTACTGGAGCTTTGAGTTATCTCCAGAAGAAATATCGGGAAGTTCATAACACATGTTTCAAAGCAACTCGAGAGAGGTTTGAATATCGACATAACTCGGAATCATTGAGTGATGAAATCCATTATTTATCTTTTAATAAATCGTGTAAAGAGATTGGCGGTGATAGCAGCCACGAGATGTGTTATTACTATTACTGGGAATGTAAGATGTACGAATGCTTGTAGGAACGGCAGTAGACTACCGGTATGCCACCTTGTCTGAATGGGATTTCAGCCAGTCAAGCCTCAAGGTAACCTTATTTTTCTGGCGATTCGCGAGAAGACCTACCTTAATATTCTAGGACAGATGTCGCTTTGGTTGGTCTGCAGATGAGCTATCCAGCCTATCCTAATATACGATTCAAGAATTGTACAATCGAAGTAATTACTGCCTGCATATATGAATCTGCAAGAAGGCCCTTACTCAATTTCCGCATCAAACGCGGTGAACTACTGAATATCTAAGCCATCCGGCATATTCTGATGTTCGAGTCTAGAATCGAATTATCGAAGTATCGCTTTAGTAACTTGTGGGAAGAATCCGGAGCTATCTCAGGATTTTAATAAATCGATGGGTTGAATCTCTACCCCTTCTTTTAAATAAATTACTCGTAAGTAATACCCAAAGAGTTAGAATCACACTTGAACGATGTGTTGGAGCTAGAGCTCATTTGAATGATCATTCTATCATGGAGAAGATCCACGAAGACTCGACCGAGAGATGAAGCTTTATCACGTACTAGTATAGGATAAGATCCAATTGAGTGAATCCGATATAGAGGTTCTCAACCAAGATAACAATACAAGTACCTCTCGGATATCTTGAAAGCTCAAGCTCTTGAATATCAAATTGCTGAATGAAATTGCAATTATAATAGTTGCTACAGCATGTGATACATCGAAACATCGATACATCGTAGTCCGATTATATCACTTTGATCTACCTATATAGAATAGAAATCGGGACGAGATATATACAAGTATAAAGGTTTGCCGATAGAAAAATAATCCAAAGAGCGAGTGGCTCCGCGGCAGAGCATTATAATCACATGGATTAATTATACTCCTTCAGGATCGGTTCCTAAACTTATAGGCTTTCTCATCATATAATATCAAGAGATGAAGATTATTCCTATAAAAACTATTCAGTAAAGATATAAAAAAGACTAGTTTGATTTCCCATAAAATGTAGAAGCGAGTATATCTGCTCATTTTACTTGCGAATGAAATGAAAAATACCTCTGATTTAGATGTCTTTAAGAATTCAGGGATTTCAAATTGAAGACAAATGCGGTAGTTTGACGTTTATTTCTATTTATTATAGATAATTAGTAGAATACAAGATAGGTTACTAATAATAATCAATCAGAGATAAATTATAGTGAAACTCCAGGTTCCTCATTTTTGATTCGTATTTGAGGAGTTTTCGAGAACTTTTTAAGCTTTCGAATTACAGACAGATTTCACGCATGATCGGTATGTATATATCTCGGGAGTCGGGAGAGATCAATCATCAATGAGGATAATTCCCAGTGGCATTATCGATAATAAGTTCCAGCGATAATAACTCTGAGCCTGGGTTCGCTGCAGATAATTAGAAAATATAAATGTGAAATGTCTACGAGTTCTTAATCTTTCATAAGTCAGTCATGACTTGGAAGCAGAAGCAGAAGCAGAAGCAGAAGTATTATTGGAAATTATCATCTTTATATAATATATTATTATCAGAAAAGATTAACGATTTCTTAGATACGGTATATCCATACAAGAGGTACCGTACCGTATACACACTGGGGTGAGTAATATTGAATAATCTTACGTCCAGTCTAATCTTGGACGCGGTATAGCCAACGGCGTGCATTCATTCTCCTGATCATGCTGATGTAGGATCTAGATATAAAATGGGTTTCGATATCTGAAATATATAGGATAGGATGGTGTTTCAAGAGCAGAGAACTAAGTGGTAACTGTAGCAACCAAAACCAGAGTTTGCGATAAACTTATTCATACCCACCTCTTCCCCAGGCCGTTTCACAATGCCAAATATATACATAGCATACTATATATATTTCGAGATATATAAAATATGTTATATAATTCAATCGTTCAAATGCGTAATGATAAATAGATATCAAACTCATCGCCTCCGATAATGCGAGTGGCGAAAAGGATATTAGTGCTATTATAATTACTAGTTATGGACATCTTGTTTCAGAAGATAAATAAGTTTGTCACATGATAAGCCTCTGTGGCACAATTGGTTAGCGCGTGGGCCTTTTAAGCCCAAGGTTGAGGGTTCAAACCCCTCCAGAGGCTATTTCTTTTGATGTTTGTTTTACCTCCCTGTCTAGTTAATAGGGGGTGAGTGATATATCAATTTTTGCCTGGGTGTTTGTTGTATATTGTATCTTGTTATATGTGCATGCTGCTTATTTTGTGACGCTACTGATGAGTAAATTAAACGACAGGAAACATCCGAGGAGTATTGTCTGAAAAAACATATTCGGGAGAGCGTGCGTGAGCATTAACCTGGTAGGTACCACACACACTTATAATTAGGACTTCCATACTTTTCCAAAAGAAAAATCCTAGCCTAGTACTATCAAGAACTAGTCTTAATTTTCAGCCGACAAACAATCTTCGCGAGCGACTGACCGACTAGGTTATTCGCTGATTAATAATTCAAAAATTACAAATAGTCTAGATTTTCCTGTGTTTTCATTTATATGATCGATATATATACTATCATATCAATCCAATATCATGACACTTTACATACAAAGTTAGTTTCGACTGCTCCATTGCTCCATTGATCCATAACTATCTATGGATTAAGTCCATATTCCGGTCCACTTAGACTGGACCCACATGACAGACTCCATATTTGCGAAATTCATTGACTTCAAGAATTGTTCGAGTTATAATAAGATAGAGAGGAGAATTGAAGGTAACTAGAGACGGGAAACTGTTCTCCTTATCTGATCTGATTGCATGAATTTTGATATGAGTAGGTAGATATCTGCCACAAGCAAATCAAGGTAAACACTGCTGTGTGTGCACTCGCGACCGTTCATATTTCCCTGGAATGCATTGATAGATGGGAACCTTCAGTGTGTTGAGAGAAAGACGATGAAGGCTTGATATACTGCCAAGTCCAAACGCGTTATTTGTCGGTACTGATGAAGTCTGTTTGTAGTCGTGGTTCGGGGACATCTTTGATGATAATTAGCCATCCTTTGCCATAAGTTTAGAGGTCTAACTCTATCGTCCAAGAGTGCTAAGCTCTGATACGAGTGAAGTGGCTTTACTACCCCACCTGTATCTGAGCTGGGTGGGCTATTTTGGCAGGCTAATCCCTACAAATCTGATAAGCGGTCAGATAAAATATACCTAATAGTCATCGAAGTTTGGAAATAATTGTATATAAATACTGGAACAATAACCTCAATCTTGTTGTATACAGGTATACCACCAAACTCTCGTCAATTCACACCTATCTACCCTACATCCTATAAGGTGACCAACTGATGGACGAGAATCATCCTTTACTCGCACCGGTACCACCACCCACAAATGCCGCTGGTCAATATCCATATATCCCCGATGTGAATATTCCACATGATGAATCCTTCGATCATAGAATCGACTTCAATCCCAATGGAGACCCGGAAAATCCATTGGAATGGCCCAAGGCGTATCACGATGGAGTGATTTTACTATTAGCTTTCATGGCATTCACAGTGTACGCATGTCATCTCATTTCATCTCATACACCCTCACCCTCATCCCCAACCTTTAACCAGCTTCCACTCCCCAATTCCCAATCGCCAACCCACTAACCCCCCCCATCAGAACATTCACCTGTATCGGCGTAGTGCCCATCGCCCGACAAATCATCCTAGATCTCGAGCACCAAGAATCCAAATCCGCCTCCGTCCTCCTCGTCACCATCTGGGAGCTCGGAGAAGCCGCCGGCCCCTTACTCATCGCCCCCTTATCCGAAGTCTACGGTCGCGCCGCCGTTTTTAACGTTGCCAATGTATTGTTCATTGTGTGGACCGTCGTGGCCGCCTGTAGTCAGACGTCGCATTTATTTATTTTATCGCGCTTTATGACGGGTTGTGCCGTGGCGTCTAATGTGCTGAATCCCGCCGTCATCGGCGATATGTTACCACCTGACCAACGAGGCTCGGCCATGGCAACGCTTATGCTTGCACCGCTTTTAGGTGGTGCGGTTGGTCCAGCTATTACTGCATCGATAGCTCAGTCCATCGGATGGCGAAATGTGCTCTGGTTCGCGGCGGGGATGGCGGGAGTTTGCGAATTGGCTTTTGTGTTTCTACTTCGGGAAACGTATAAACCTCGGATCTTGCAGCGAAGAATAGCGAGGTTACGAAAGGATCATAATGATCTTGCGCTCAAACTTGCTGAAGAGAAAGAGAGTGAACATACGGCAATGGCCATATGGGAGGCTATCAAAAGACCTGCAGCTGTCTTTGGAGGATCCTTCGTGTTGCAGATCTTGTCGTTTTATGGCGCGATTATTTTTACCTTCTATTATATTATGTCGACCACTTTACCAGAGGTTCTCAAGAATGTATATGGGTTTCCTCCATCCACAATTGGTTCTTCTTTCTTCGCTTTTAGTAAGTATCTGACTGAATTTACCACCAATCCATATATACACATCTAACTAACAAAAACAGGCGTTGGATCGACCGTTGCGGTATTTCTTTGCAACATGCTCCTAGACCGCATCTACATCCATCTCCGGCGCAAAAACAACAATAAATCACACCCGGAGCACCGCATGCCCCTCACCATAATCAGCGCCTTCATCCTCCCCTTCTCCGTCGCACTCTTCGGATGGACCGCAGCCAACGGTTGGCCCGTCGCTCTTCTTCTTTTCTCGGTCGGCCTCCAAGGTTTCGCTATCTTAACGGGTATGGTGCCGCTGATGGCTTATGTGGTGGATGCTTTTGGACTGTATTCGGCGAGTGCGTTGACGGCGGTACTCATTGCGAGATGTTTGATGAGTACGTTCTTGCCGTTGGTGGTGGGTCCGTTGACGGATGAGCTGGGTTATGGATGGGGATTTATGATCGTTTCGGCTGTGTGTTTGTTGGTGGCTCCGGTTCCGTTGGCGGTTATGAGGTATGGTGAGAGATGGAGACAGTGGTCTGCTTTTACGAGGGATGTTTGATAATATGATTGATGACGGGATTTATGAAAATGAAGTTGCGCTCTCGAGCTTGTGATTAGAGAAGGCTAGGAAAAGATTTGTCTTGTTTATATTATTATATTACTGTATTGCAAGAGTATATAGAACTAAACGATATAATCTTACATATTATAACATAATACGCATGCATACTAAGTTTCTCTTTCTCTTTCTCTTTCTCTTTCTCTTTCAACAATACCCATCAAACTAAACAAAGCTAGAAATATCCGACAAAAGCTAGAGTAGAGTACTGTAGGTAGTTATATTACTCGTACTTGAGTATCGAGTTTTATATTCTTCTCTTCTCTTCTTTTACATCTTATATCTTACACTTTCCTAAATTCTCTTGCCTTGAATATCCATCTCTTCCATTGATCCATGGATCTTATAATCATACCCCTCTAAAAGTCCACCAAAGATATACCCACCCAGTTCTACCCCACCCTACCACTAAATTCCTTCTCTTCTTCTCTTCTTCTTTTCTCCCCGTCACCACCTTCCTTTCCCCCGCCACTCCCACCACAAAATCTACCCCTACCTTAAAACCTACCCACATCAATCCTACCCCTCCCCCCACCACAAACCCACCACAAACCCACCACAAACCCCCCTCAAAACCAAAAACTTCACCACCAAAAAGTTTAATCACAATCACAATCCACGAATCAGATTCAAACTGAAACATATACAAAGGTAAACGACTCCCTACATAGGACTCGAACCTATAGCCTTAAGATTAGGAGTCTTACACGCTACCATTGCGCCAGCAGGGATTTTTTCTTTTTTTTCTGATTGAGATAGGTGAAGGGAGTTTGGGGATATACGGAGAGGGTTGGGAGGGAGGTGGGAGGGAGGGAGGGAAGGAGGCAGGGGAGGGTATGTGGAAGATGTGGAAGTTGGGGATGGGATGGTTAGGGATAGGGATAGGGATGGATATATAAATGAGGATTGGGGGGAGGGGAGGTGGGATGGGAAGGAGGGGGAAGAGGGTAAGGAAGGAGGTTGGAGATGGACAGGTATGTGAAGTGGAAGAGAAGAGCTCGAGGTGGGTGGGCGGGTGGATGCGGGTTCGAAGGAAAAGAATAAGAAAATAAAAATAAAATAGAAATACAGAGATAATTGAACAATATTTATAATACCGGCCGGTAACTCGAATAGATAATCACAAAACTTGCAAATCCAAAAAACATATAAAATTATATACTATACCTCTCTATAGGAATCGAACCAATATCTCCGGAATCAGAATCCGACGTGCTGACCATTACACCAAGTGAGGGGGTTCAAGGATAGGTAGGGAAGTGTTATTTGATATTGTGTATTTCAATCGAGTAGTGTGGAATGAATGATTTGCGGATGGGTAGGGGGGGAGAGAGAGAAGAGAGAGAGAGAGAGAGAGAGAGAGATTAGGATTAGGATTAGAGAGGAGAGGGGGACGGGGACAGAGATTCGGTCGGGGATTTGATTGGTAGAGTTCTCGTAGAGTGAAGTGATTCAATGATTGTTATTCTTGATGATGGGATAGGATAGGATAGAGTATATTAATTAAAAGTACTCTTTAAATAATCAAATCCTTAAGGTTAAAGCAGGTTACTTAAATATCTTATTTACCCCCTCACCTACCCCTTCATCCACCTCCCTCATCCATCCATTCATCCATTCACCTCTCATACATCCGAGTCCACCAACCAAACCAATTAACCAACCAATCAACCAATCACAACCCCTTTCTCATCCCTCCCTCCTTCTTCACTATGCATAATTTGTTGCATATCGTAAAAAGAGCAAAAGGAGAGGGCTGCAAATCCATCCGAACTTTTCCAAGTTTATCCGAGCTTTCCAATATTCCGTTTTTCCGATTTGCTTATACCTTATACCCAACCAATCATATTATAACTTGTTGTATATCAGTAGCTCAATTTGTTTTATTGCATATCGATAGCTCTTAGTAGAAATTCAACTTAATTCAATTTCATTTGTTTATGTATAATCAAGGAAAAGATAGGAAGGAACTAAAAATGTCTGAGAATTTTGATCAAGATACAAATTTTCCATGAATTGGATATAGGCGTGGATGGATTAGCCGTGATGTGAATTGGCTATAATGTATAACAAATTGTGATAGAAATAGATTCATTCCTCAAATATAGGGTTAGTTATATAAGCAGATTATTTGAGCATATAAGGAATGGAAATGGTTACCGGTATTTGTAGAATGAACGAGAATACATGGCAATACTTGGTTGAACTATGAGTATTTATTTGTTTATTTATTGTGGCTATAAGGTTAAGATATCGATCTAGTATAGAGATCAAAACGGCAAGAAAGAAGAAGTATACGGGATAGTCAAAATGTACAGTAATAAGAATAACTATATTAATCTTCAAGCTAAACTATTGAATTTCCTAAAATAGCACTACTATATTATACCCAAGACTACTCGTAGAATGAGATACTCGTATATATCTCCATTCATCTAATCCAATCCAATCCAATCCAATCCATTCATGATACATACATATATACAATCTTTCATTCATCAATCTCCAAAGCATTACCAACTGCCAAATGCTCGCTAATATCTCGAGGGTATCATCCAAACCAGTCATCTATCTATCACATTACATCATATAACATCCAAAGTTCCAAGCCCAACTCTAGAAAGAATGCAAACCAAACCAACATCCACGCCCATGCCCACATTCACGCCGTGCAATTAAAGATCAAAAAGTCTCGTCTCCTTCACTCCATTATATTCATCCATCATTCATCATCAATCATTCATTAAAGATGAGCTTCCATCAATCATCAAACCAAAGATTTCTCACCCTCACCCTCTCCATTTCCCCTTCCCAGCACAACCAGCCCCCCAACCTCCACATCCCCCAACTTCTTCACCCGCTTAGCTTCCAACCTCAATCTTTCCTGTTCTCCCAATCCCACTTTCGTAGTCTCATGTTCTTTACTCAGAACATGTTGGCCGATGGCAAAACTTATTGCTAGGCCCAGCGCTGCAAATACTACGTAGATGATCCACTGTATTCATATTCATATTAGTATCTCTCTGATTCCCCAGAATTAAAAAAAAACTCACCATGACCCTCAAACTCCCCCAATAAGCAGTCCTCGCCACCTCTCGTCCAGCAGCAGGTAACGCCTTAACAATATCCACACTCGCCCCCGCACTCCCACCACTCAAATCCGACGCCACGCTACTCCCCAGCGCACCAACCAATTCCGCACTCCGCTTCTGCATTTCATTTTGAAATACCACGCTTCCGACCACAACACTAATACTCGTGCTCAGGTTCCTCGTAAATCCAAATGTGGCAGTCGCAGTTGCAATATCAGCTTTCTGAACCAGCGTTTGCAGCGCAATAAGTGGAGATTGGAAGTTGGGACCGACGCCTATACCGGCGATGATTTGGTAGATGATGATTTTGGACCATGTGGGGGTGCGCGGGAGATCTATGAAGAGACCGAAGCCGAGGGTCATGATTACGAGCCCAAAGTAGATGGGTGGTAGGTATTTGCCGGTTTTTTTAATAAATATACCCGTGGCCGCCGATGTCAAAGATAGCGAGAGGGCGAATGGTAGAAGATAGACGCCAGAGAGGAGGGGGGTAGCGCCAAGAACAGCTTGAAAATATAGCGGGAGGTAATAGGAAGCGGAGATGAAGACGAATCCGTGACAGAAACAAACGCCCAAAGCTGCAACATTAGATGAATGCTTGAAGAGTCGAAGAGGCATGACTGGATATCGAGCGAATTTCCATTCGTTGAGCACAAATAGTCCGGCGATCAATATCCCGAAAATTATGAGGCAGATGACGGTAGCTGAATCCCATGGTTTGGTGACGCCTCCGAATTCGAGCCCGAGAAGAACCATCAGTGTACCACCAACTATCAGTAAACTTCCAAGCCAGTCCACGGCTTTCAATCCATCCCATACTGGCGTTTTTGGATTATCGAGATGGAGGAAGAAGAAGAGTGCTATTGCAACTGTTCCCGTAATCGGCAACTATTCCATGATTAGTATTTACATTTCTTCCGAATCTTCCAAAGAAGAACGTAGCAATTCAATACAAAACTCACATTAATATAAAAACACCATCTCCAGCTAACCTTCTCCGTAAACGCACCTCCCAACAGCGGCCCAATCGCACTAGCAAAAGCCCACGTCATACCCACCAACCCAAAATACGCCCCCCTCTTCCTCATACTAAACAAATCACTAATACAAATATTAACCAAAATAATGAGTCCCCCTCCCCCCACTCCCTGCACCGCCCTCGCCACAATCAACATCCCAATACTAACACTGGTCGCCGCAAGCAAACTCCCGATAAAAAATATCCCAGCCGCTATCAACAATATCGGTTTGCGACCCCATATATCGGAGAACTTCCCCCAAGAAGGTGTGCTAGCGGCATTGGCGAGTAAGTATGCGGATCCGATCCACGTGTAGCCGGCGTCGGAGTGGAAATGCGTGGATATGGTGGGTAAGGCGGTGGTTATGATGGAGACGTCGAGGGCGGCGAGGAAGACCGAGGAGCAGAGGGATAGCATGATGATGATGGTTTCCAATTGTGTGCGCGTGGCTTCGGGGTCTGGAAATGCGGGCCCAGGAGCGTCGCTCGTGTCTGCGTTTGAAGTGGCATTTTCGTGGGGAGGAGGGGTTTTGGGTAAGGGGATGTCGAGACTGGTTTCGTGGGAGGTAGAGGGTGAGGAATCGACGATGTTTTTTTCGGGGTCTGCTGGGTTTGTGCTTGGAGATTCGAGGGAATTGGGCGTGGTATGCTGATATGTAGATGGTTCTGGTGGTATTTGTTGTGGTCCAACTGTTGTATTGATAGCGCTTGTTTCTGTTGAGGCAACACCTGCCATTTGTGCGGTGTTGTACATGTACTCTGTATCCAAGTACTCGGGTGCTTTTGTAAGATTCAATTGATCTTTCTCGTCCGACCTTTTGTATTAATTTGATATAACCTATCGTCTATTAAACATTTGTCTATGCTCGTTCAAGAAGAAGGAACGAAAATGGGATGATTGATATCGAATATAGTTAGTTGTACTATGTTGATTATTTCGCCATCCAGTGCCCAAATTGTCATATAATAGATTGGTCTACATACAAGTAGATTAATTACTACAGTAACTAATTAAATTCATCAATCGTTAGCACTTTCGAGCCGCCATGTTGTGTGTCAAAAATCTATCCATACGGTTGAATACTTCCTTTCAATCACTTTCCTCTCCCGGAAATAAATTTTATGGATCATCGTCATAGATTCTAGATTCTGTAGCTATGGTACAGATAGCTTTGATTGGCGGATAAGCACAATATTCCCCAATTATTATGTCATAAAGATCAAAGGGTCCTTTTCATTGGACCTCGCTATTTTCTTTGTCCGATGTTTAATAAGCGAGGAATAAATAGCTCTTATATCCGGAAAGCCATTTTTTCACCTACTTTTTATACAGGAACCGGATTGGCAATAAGGTAGGTTTGATACGAGCAGAAATTTGGGACCTGAGAGAGCATTGCAAGTTGCTTCTAGAGTCAGATCGGGCCTAGCAGTACAATTTAGAAGAATTCGGTCCCGAATACTGTATTAACAGAATTAAGAATGCTATGTAAAACAGATTTCTCGGTCAATTCGAATGAAAAGGTTCGGTCCCGAAATAAAGAAGAATAATGAAAACAATGATCAGCGGGTAGAATCCCACGTCCCCAGATCTTGGCTCTTGGCTCTTGGCTCTTGGCTTTTTCACCAGCTTTGCAAGGAAGAAAGATTTGCATCAAGAGAATACTGACGAAAGAAAATTTCCGGGTACAGATTAGCATGGAATCGGGTCAATACACTAGCTGCCATAAGAGAACGAATAGGTCGATTGTTTTCACGATTCTCTCGAGGACACGCTGTCCGAAGCTTGGTAACTTTGGAATTAATGCATTTGTCATACAGTCCTGAGCCTGTGCTGACTCTGAAATCAGCTATTCAAGAAATAGTTGCTCAAGCCTCACGATGTCGAGCCCGGAGAATTGTTATGCGAACATCTTGCACACGGGAGTAACAACTTCTGTAAACAAGGCTGGATAAGTTTATAAACTACGATAATCAGCTCAAGGTATTAATGAGTTCATGTCATTGCACAAATAGGTGGTCCGATTTAATAGCTATCGCAAGATGTCGAGTTGGCTCATTGGCTTGTGGACGAAATATCACATGACACCGAATATATACCTATTGAGATCGCGCATCAATGCTAAAGTCGTTCGACCAACCTCCGATGAGCTAGATACAAAACTTGACGCCAACGCCTGGCAATGTCGAAGACGAAAGCTGAGAAGAACCAAGGCACCTTCGGATCCTCACCCACCGGAGAGGATCCGATTGCCTTGGTTCCGCGCAAATACAACCAAGATACAGATGAAAGGTCCTAACGAAGTTTGGAGCAATGAGTACGCTCATCTTCCCCGAGCCGTTTGTCATATTTCCTGATAATACCGGACTTCGGCAACGTACATATTTCCTCTGGGGGTGTGAACCGTTCGAGAAAATATGACCTGTCGAGAGTACTTAAAGACAGCATCGATAATGAGGAACGTGAGTCCTTAGATGAGAAGATCCAATCCTGGAGAGTGCGATTGATGATATGGCGGTTTGGTGGCTTTGTGCTGTGCCAATTATGATATCGATTGGAGGTCAAACACGAACACTCATAAGTAACTCTACTGACGGGTGGAATGTAAGCCATAGAGACTGCTAGAGAGGTCATTAACCAAACCTTTTTTATAGAAATCTTTCATGTGCACTTTGTGTACTCGAGTAGAAGAGGAAAGTCGTCGAAAATGCTAAAATGAATGAAGGGGGTAAATATTCTGCCCACCTCAAGTACACCGCCCTGCTTATTACTCAGCGAAGCCCCTTCATCTTGAGCGATCCCCAGCCTTCATTCTTCCCGATATCACGGAACTAAGCTTGACGCTGTTATTTGGTTACAAATCCAATTCGAAGTCCTCGACTGCGAACTGGTCTATGATGTGGTCGCGTACCTGAGAAATAATGCGCAAACTGAAAGAATCAAGCTGAGAGGAGTTCACGACTGAGATTGGGAAGGACAATGAGAATTACACGTCACCCCAGGGATCTCTCTTATACTAAAGAAAGTCATGCAATCTTCAAAACACCAACCTGCCAGGTCCTATTCATGATGAAGTAGAAAATAGGATAGCCTTCGCCTTCATCATACTTCATGGGTTTCGAAATCCTTCGCTTCCCCGGTCTGAAACGGCTCAAATCGGTTGTTACCATAGAAGTCCAAACGCTCAAGCAACCGCCAAGAACATCAAAAATAGCCCCCTCGTCCCAACTCCACGGTGTCATCTCATGTATGAAACTCGGGATATCGGTTACCGTTAGTAAGTTTAATGGGGATGGATCTAATTTTCATGCTCCTTTATAATTCCACCTATCACATCGCCATTAAAGTTATTTTAAATTTAAACTGCTTGCTCATCGTCGGCCTAGTGGCTTGAGATCTTATCTGATGAATGTCAAGCGCCTTTTGAACAATGAAGATATCGGATTTTAACAGTTGATCCAACGAAATATGTTACTCCAGAGGTACTTGGCGTGTCATTGCCCACTCTTTTGTACATAGTCGGCTCTGGAGTAGGGATCGATGCCATTCTCTAGGAAATTGGATGAATCGTTCCTTGTCAAGACAACCTTGGGACGAAAAAGATGATCTCATCAACACATATAAGATCACCATGTATTTCCGTATCCTAATTCCATTTCATTATCATCTTCATCTTCAATACAAACATTCCTTCCAATCTATTCCTTACTTTCTTTTACAGCTGTGCTGTCTTTTGCACTGTTAATACATTTATTTCATATTACGAATTTAATTCGCCCGCCAATCATTCCAGACATCTTCTTTCTACACCACATCACATCCAACCAACCCAATTAAATCATTCAAAATGCATTTCTCCCTCCCAGCTCTTGTCCTCTTCCTCTCCGTCGTGAACGCCTCTCCTCTGCCTAAGAAAGAAGATGCTGCCGCCGCAACCTCATCGGCATCTACCTCTGTCTCCACCGCATCTGCCGGAAGTGTTCTTACCGCCTCGGCATACAATGATTTCCAAATCTCGGATGGAACCGCCGGAACCGCTGAAGATCAAGCAAATGCCCTCTTCACCTCAATCGATATGAACAATCTCGCTGCCGTTTCTAAAGCCGATCTCAAAATCATCCAGGGAGTTCATGATGCCGCCGAAGATGCTGAAACCGATGCTTTTAATCCAGCGGTAAAAGCTGCGACTGGTGATGCTGCTGATGCTCTTCAGGTAAGATTACATCTCCTCTCCCATGTCTTCCCTAAAATCCCTTCCTTGCCTTCCTTTTCTTTTCCTCTCCGATCCTACATGTATGCAGTATACCATAGCCATAGCCACAGCAACTAACACCAAACCCAGAACGGCAAAATAAAGAACAAAGTCCTCAAACTCACAGCCGAAGTCCTCAGTCTCCAAATCAAAGCAGCACAAGGTGGCGATGCAGACCCGGCCCCTGAACAGAAAAAGTTAGCCACTAATGTGAAAACGGATGTGGCGGCTGCTGGAAAGGCTAGTACTGCGGTTAGTTTCGATGCTACGAGTTAGATGATACTTAGTTGTCCGGTAGAGGTTTCGAGATGATGGGCTTGAGGAGATGGGATAGGAATGGACGGGAAATCATATTTAGACATGGTTTGGGAAGGGGGCAACTGTATACTTGAGTGTATTTATGAGCTGATGGTTCAACAGTGATCGCTTGTGGATATACAAGAGTACTATCCATATAGAAAGAATTAGAATACTTACCGTATAGTATAATGATTAAAGCAAAGTGTGCTCCGTATTGTATAGGGTTGTTTCTTGATATAGTATCAGTAATATACTATTGTCATTTCAAGATCTTTTGCTTTTAAAGATTCAAGAATATCAGTCTTTCTTCATAATTAAAGACATGGCTGGGAAAGAGGACTCTCCCGAGATAAATGTATATTTCTCTAACTCCGCTTTTTAAAACTCTACTGTGGAACCAAAAAATCAGATATAAAACAAATCCCTATCGAAAACAAACGCAACTCCCTTTTCGCTCGAATTGGTTCTCAGTTGTTGCACCACTATTTATCCATACGTTTAATCCAAACTCTGTCAGTGCCAACCATGATGTATTCAACACCTTCGACTTGTTTTACCATGTGTCGCTCCTTCCACTTATCTCATAAACCTCATGAATCTTCGGTGCCTCGCTATTCTCCATCTTGGCTGGAGCCTTTGCTGCCCGATTCTCAGTCTGATCACGAACCCGGCTGATATAGATAGACTCTGTCCTTTTTATCCCTGCCAGCCATATAATATTCACCACCTGTGGATTTTGATAGCAGAATCGCAGAACGGTGGCACGATACTCTCCTCGATTCACTTTCTCACTTCTTGTCGCTACCACTTTGCTGATAAACATCATGGATCGTGATCTTGTTTTTGGTGTTTAGTCGGCTTGGTAGATCGCTAGATGTTATGGATCCTGACGGTCGGCCTAGTATGTGGCTGGGTGCTGTTGGGCGTGGTGCTGTTATTGAAATTCCTGATAGTAGACTGCTAGATCTGATTGATCGTCGTGGTGAATCATCACTGTCTCTATATGAGTAGAGAAGAGTCAGTAGGTATATAGTCGTAGCGTTTTCCGCTGCTTGAATCCAAACCAATTTCCAAATACAAAGATTGTTAACACAGATGCACAAATAGAAAAGAATGAAGCTTACTTGACAACTCTATTATCAATATGGATCGCTTGCGTCGTTGGCGGTTTAGTACGATCGTCCGAAACCCAAACGCTCTCTTTATCGACTTCTTGATCGCACGGTGCTCTGTATTTACTTTCGTCCAAACTTTCATTTGTTGTGAAGAATAAGCATTGTCTGACCGACACACAGTCTCGAGACAGATTCCACGGGCGGGGCTTAGTGATATTTCGGGGGGTTTCGTAGGCATTAGGGTTGGTCTCATAGACAGTGCTATGAAGGACCACATTTGAGTAGTATAAGACATATTTGTCAGATTCTTTGCTTGGATATCTAACTCGCTTCAAAAATGTAGTCTCGTTGTAGGTGGTGACAAAACCGTAGGTCAACTCATTTGTTTCTAAGTAAATGCCAATTTGGCCTGAAAGACTCTACCGGTATTAGAAACCTGAAATCACATTTGAGAGGGAGTTCATCTTGCCTAAAAGCTGGCGAAAGCGATGTCCAATTTCATCCCACCGCGTGATACAATCCACCTATCTAAAGGATGGGCCCAAAAGACTTTGGCTTCTCCCACAACACGTGGCTCAATATTTTCTTTAATAGTACCGGTACTTGCAACAAAATCTGGGAGTTTGAGATTGGGTTCCTTGCAGGTGCTCGATTTTGAATCGCCATATCGAATATTAGAGCTTAGATTCCGCAGCGCACATGTGACTGGAGTCAAGAGCTGCTGTGTGAATCTACCCTGTAGAGAGTGCTCATCACCCACATAAGTCATCTCATTGTAGACATTATTCAAACCTTCTGAATTGTCCTTGGGTCTGAATGCCAAAATGTGCGCGGCCTTCTCTAAATTCTTTGGGAACAGCTTTTCAAAGGTGAGGGCCACGTTCTCTTCAAAGTCGCTCCAGTGAACAAGAGTTCCTTGAAACTCGAGCTCATGATGTAAGGAAATGCTATAAGTTGAATGTCCTGTCGTCAATAGATTGGGAATGTCGGCAGCAAGGAGAGTCCTGCCAGTTTGTGATTCGGCAGTGGTAGTGCTAGAAGCGTCCACAAAGTGAGGAACATTGAGTTTGACTTTCGGCATTTCGAACACAAAGTAGGAAGGGAAACTTGGAACAAATCTTTGCTTCAATGTTTGCTATTTCAATACTCTAATACAATCAGATGAAGAAAACATATCCCCTTAACTGCAGGATTTCAGCTCCTTCCTAAAATAGATTTAACCGGCTGATCCGCATTTAAGGGGATAGCTACCTTTACTTCTCGTCGGTTGGGTTGTGTTAAGTGGTGGTGAGAGTGGTGATTGGGTGAGGGATGAGTGGGGGACGAGTTGTGGTCCACCCCTACGGATTATCATTAATATGGAAAGCATAGATTTAATTGGGAAAGCGGGGAAAGCGCGTATTGATTAGGGAAGCGCGTAATCATTGGATAGGAAAGCGTGTATATTACGAGGCTTTGATTGGATATCATCTAAGCCTCTCTAGCTGACTCAACAACCCTTTCCAATAACCTTACTTAGTTATTTCACCTCTATTAATCTGCTTCTTAACAACGCCGCCGATTGCAACCGCATCAAAAATTAAGACAGAGACACCACTTCAAAAATGGTCTCACAAAGAGGCTGGATAGCGGATCGCTTGAGATCAGGGCATGAGTTCAAGATCGGGGATGACATCTGGATGCTTTCTGGGAGCCCGATTAAGGAATCACAATACACATACTTCTCGAGAGCGGTCTTCGAATGCAAGATTGTGCACAAGAGAGAAGGGATTCCATCTCATGCAATCGTTAAGATCTGGATGCAGTATTTGTCAATCCTTCTTTCTTATACTATATGTTGTTTCGTATTGACAAGAAACCTACTGATAATCGTTGAAGAACCCAAAAGATTGCACCTCTCGATCCACGTCATAGACGCAATTCCCATGATAGTGGCGATTCGTCTCATGGCAGCGATTCACCTCCTTCTAATAGCGACTCACCTCCTCTTGGTAGCGATCCGGATGCCGGTAGCAACTCGGATTTCGTTTTCAAACAAGATTGGGACAGGGAGCTGGAATGTCTGAATATAATGAAGAAGGGCTACGATGAAATGAAAGCCGCCGCAGTCAAAGAAAAGGTGGAACTACTATCCAAACCTTTTCCGCACGCCATTGGATTGGCCGTTGAAAAGCAGGAACAAAATTTTCCCGTTCAAGGAGGTTATCTGGTCTATCTGGTTATGGAAAAATTGCCAGGTGATTGCATAACAGAGTATGAATTTTGGCAGTGGACGAAAAGCGAACGTGACGATTTTCGACGGGCTTTCGAACAATCAGCACAGTATGCTTTCTCATTCCATGGAAGCACTTTAACATACTGACACAATTCAGATTGATCGAGAAACTTGGTGTTGAGAACATCGACAAAGCAATGAGAAACCTACTATGGGATAAACAAAACAATAAATGGTTAGTCGATATCCACGACAATATTGACAACCAGTTCGAGTTTGCTAATGATAGGATAGTTACTTGATCGACTGGGAAAATTGGACAACATGTAATCCCGACGACCCTTACCCCCTTCCAGATTTGCAATGTCAATACGACATGATCCGAGATTTAGGGCCGAGAATGGGACAAGACCGTTGGGATACAGATTAAAGCAGGGGTTGTTGTAGGCCTCTATATGGTGCGGTTACCGAATTGTGTAACCACTTCCCAGGAACAGTTGTTTCCTCTGATCACAGAGCTAAGGGGATGATTCACCTCATTGTATCTCTTGTAGCCAGGTTTTCCTCAGATCGAGCAAGGTGATGGAGGTTCTTGATCGACATGCTACCGGCATCGTACTATCTATTGTTGCATCAAGTTTATGCCTTGAATAGGTCGGGTTTCTAGGATTGGGTTAGGGGTCTTATGGGGTGTTCTTCCGGATGGGGTCTCATGATTTTCCTTTGTTCTTTTCCTTTTCCATTCCAAAACTCTTCTTGTATTTCGATCTGGATATACAAATCAGCGTCGCCCTCAGGGGCACTGTACTTCATCAAGAAAGTTGCAGCATAAATACAGCTGAGGAAGGATCATGGATTAATGAGGACAATGGGTAGAATACGCTGTACTTTAGCACTACTACTGCTGCCCACTGAGCATAGTACTCCCGAAGATATCAGTAATGGAATAGCGTTTCTCGAGGAGAACTATTTCCTTTGCAAGTTTGGAGCGAAATCAATACTTTTCTCATCTTCTGTCCCTTTATGAATAGATTGACGCAGTTCAATATTGGATTCTTTGTATATTTGAAGTGAGGTATTAGATAGATGACCATGAAGATAAGAATGTTATCGGGGAAACCAGCTCATATGTTTGTCTCGATCACATTCTGTGAACATTCAAGATAAGTCAAATTAAGCTGGGTACGATGCAGCCCGTCATTCCCTTACCCCAAATCTCATCAATCAAATACTCGCTCAGTCACCATTAGTTCTTGCTGCTAGAGAATTCAGAATTCGACCATTTTCTCTTCTCATTAACCCAATTCGAAAACTATAGAGACCTCTCAATACTTTCTCCTGAGTTGTTTCATTCTACCGCGAGCTCTTGTAGCATCGTTGCTGCATCTCTTCAATTGCTTTTTGAAACGGCTCTACTTCCACCCACTATCCAAGATCTCTCCCTGACCCATATACGATACACGAACAGATGATCATCTCGGAAACTATCTCTTTGGTTCATTATACCCTGTTATATTTCCCTCGCCCGAGATATTCGATCCAGGAAGATGGCTTGATGACTAAGAGAAGAGAAGAGAAGAGAAGAGAATAGGAGAGAAGAGAAGAGATTACAGAAGCATTTTATACTACATGGCAAAGACTATTCAATATACAGTTTGTCTCAAAATGATGTTAGTTACTCCCCTAATTTATTAGTTTACTAGATAAAATTTACAGTATAGTTACTATGGTAATATAGCGAATGCAAAAATATACATGAGTCTCGCGCTGTTATTTCTGGTTTTGAAAAGGTGTTCTACGAATAACGAGACGGACGCCACATGGACTGGGTAGATGGTGAAAATATGGTTATTCGATCATCTGCTAAGTATATATTAAGTGTAATCGTTGGGCTTCGTGATCGAAGGTATTCTTAGCGCGAATATAGATTCTTTAATTGCAGTATGATGATTCTTTGATCGTAAGGTTTACTTTGATCGCTAGCTTATAAATTTGATATATCAGTAGTCTCTTGAAACACTGGTATAATCGAAGAGAACAGAGAACAAAGTAGAATTCGAAATAAAAAACAGGTTATCCCGATGAGTTTCAATAATGTCACGGTATAGATTTATGTACTCGCCGCTCGCGTATAAAGCTCTAATTATATATACTGTATCTACGACATCTTAATCAAAGCCTTCTATAGTGAGAAGTCATACTATATAGTATGCTACAATGCAGTTCTCAGCTCGAAACTTTACAAGTTCAATTTAACAAGTCATCTAAAATAAGAAGAGAGAAGACCAGCTTCAGTACAGATCGGTGTACTCAATCAGGGGTTTCGGTTAGCCTTTGTAGTTAAATCAACTTCATTATACCACTCAATCAAGGAGTCGAGGAGTATTCGCAATAAATTAGCAGGAAAAACAGTGCCGGTACATTTAATATTCTATTGTATAGAAATCAAAACATAAAATTAGGTGCACGAAATATTGGGTACCTTTATCATTCCTCCCCATACTAATACTCAAAAATATCAAATATTCTTCAAGTAACACTGTGCAGTAACAGAACATTTCTCGATCATCTCTTACCTCGTCTTCAGATCACACTTACCCATCTCAAAATATCCTCTACTGTACATCCTTTCAAAACCTCTCTTTATTCTCTAGTCTCTAACCGCTCCTTACCTCATTGAACCGTGTAACCTAGAAATCCCCAAATAAGATCTTACAATGTATACTAATCCAATCTCTATTCATCCATCAATTTCAATCCCATCTTCAAATCCCAAGTCCGGTCTTCAGACCTCCCTTCAATTCTCTCCTTCTCTCTCCAAAAACACATTCAGCAACCCTCTTGACGCGATTCCGCAAAAAATCATGTATTTATCAAATATTCTTTCCAGATAGTTAAACAATTTGGCGTAGAAAGCCAGTTCGACATTCTTCATGATACCCTTTCCGTCTTTTTGGACGACTCAATGAGATCTAAATCAGACGGTAGCTCAGAAGAACGGATGTGTGAAATCATCTATTTTTGTTTATCATAACCAGGACATTTCGAAGCGAACAAGGTTGTAGAAGAGTGTTGGGGAAGGTAAGCGAGATCCCGAGATACTGTACGAGGCTACTGTATGAGGCGTAGAGAAGTAATGTCTGTTAAGGAAATGTATGATTTGATATTCTTGGGAAAATTTAAACGAAGGGATTATGAGCGTGTCGTGGAAAATGGGAGAATTCAGGGAGAGTGGGAAGGGCTGATGAGTTGACTACTCTACCATTCAGTGACTTTATTAGGTAATGAGAGAAGGAACCTGGGATGTGTACAGAAATCTTCAGCAAAATCAAAAAGGGTCTGTCTGAAAATGAACGATATATTGATATAAAAACACAATACTTCATCAATTCCATCTCGTTAACTTTTCCGTGCCTTAAGCATGAACCGACTGTCGTGAACCTATTTCAGATAATCGTCCATTTGCTTCATCCTCCAATGAGCAATTACTGATCCATGACCAAAACGCTTCTGAACCTAACATCTCCACACAACATATGATCATACGCCGTCTGAACATCCTTCAATGGGAACTTCTCAACCAAGCAGTGCACATCATGCAACTTTGTAAACTCAATCGCCTCCTCACTATCCAAAGCATGACCAGATGGGAAACCACAAACCGAAGCCATCTTCATAATGAGATCCACCGAATTGATCTCCACACCACCACAAGGAGCCAAAATTAGCAATTTTCCACCCGCTCCCAATCCACCCGTCAAAGGAGAAATAGATTTTGGATTTGGAGCTGTACAAACAATCAAAGCGGCTCCACCCAACTCCGTCAACTTCTTGACCGGATCTTCCTTGGATGTATCGATATACTCATGAGCACCCAATTTATGAGCAAAATCTCTCTTCTTATCACCACCACTAATAGCCACGACCTTGAAACCCATTTTGGCCGCGTATTGCACTGCCAAATGTCCTAATCCACCCAATCCCTGAATAGCAACCACTTCTCCGGGTGTGATTTGTAACTTTCTCATACTGTTGAAAACAGTGATTCCTGCACATAGTACTGGGGCGTATTCATATGGATCGACGTCCTCGGGTACCCGAACCACGGCCTCGCTTCTCAGATGTACGTACTCGGCAAATCCTCCATCGCGAGTAACGCCATTGACAGCTCCGTTGACACACATTTGGAACTGCATTCAGATTGGGAAGTTAGTAATTGGTTATCAAGAAAATATTTCGGGGTAAAGTAAAAGCAACAGTAAAGTCTGGGATCAGAGAACAGAATTGGGTATCAAAGAGGGCGAGATCTGGAAATCGAGATATTACGAACCTGTCCACGATTACATTGTTTACAAGTGCCATCATGACCACCATGCCACGGACCTCCCACTCGCTCACCAACTTTCCATTTATCAACACCGGGGCCCAAAGCAGCAACCGTACCGATAACTTCGTGGCCAGGGATAATGGGGAATCCGTTGCCAAAACCGCCCGATTGAACGACGGCGTCTGAGTGGCAGACTCCGCAGGCAATGACTTTTACGAGAATCTCGTTGGCTTTGGGTTCTTTAAGCTCAATGTCTTTGATGACGAAGGGTGTGTCAGCCTTTTCGAACACGGCGGCTTTGTAGGTTTTGGGGAGAGTCATGGTGGATAGGATAGGATTGATTGAGCTTTGTTTTTGAAATTATTAAATTGATATATATATATATATATATATATATTTATATTATAATAAATTTGTTAATAGAATATTGCTTGGGAGGTTTGATGTGGTATTCATTCGTTGGATGAGTATATACGGACTATAAAGAGGAATTGTGTGATTTATGAGAGCGAAGAACTAGATGATGTATGTTTTGTTTTGAGGAGGCAAAGATAAAGGGAAGAGCTACCCCGCTGGGAGCTTCGGAACTTGATAACCGTAGTGTGCGGGGTTGAGATATATGATTAGTATGCATCTTGCATTCGAAGTGTCCATCAATTACATCATATTAACTAATCAAAGAATTAGTCGTCGTCGATACGAAATCTCATAGGGTGAAAAAGATAGGAGATGGCTGAAATCGAAAGCTGTTAAGCGATAAGCTTATTAAAAGTGATAAAGGAAGTTAGGAGGGACCCGAGTTTGCGAGTTCGCAGGCGCCATCCAGATCCCCCGCAGCCGTGCCTTTGGAATTAACCGGGATCCAATTGGCTAAGCCTATCATTTAGGTTACATAAAGCTATTCGTTAATAGCAGATTCATCAATGATGGAGTGGTCTAATTCGAGTGAGACTAATCTGTATATCATATCAACTGGATATAACGCACATCGCGCATACAAAAAGTGAGAGCTTCCAACAAGCTTCTCAGTAGACGCTGGCAAGCAAAGCAACTGAATGTTGACGATCATTCCTACAGTTTTCTATCGGCAGGAATTCTTTGACTAATCTAAAACTATACCATTTCAGGCTATAGTGCGCGGTATTCATCCAGTTTTCTTTATGCCAAAACAAAGTATCCGGTATAAACCCATTTATTGCTTTATTCATTGGTTGATTGGATAATAATTGTCAACCCCATTTATGTTCCAAGGCAGTGAACAGAGAGATACAGTACAGAACAAACGTCACGAATAGATGTCACAATATCTATTTGGAATTAGCAAGTGCTCAATAAACCATGTTGCTGTAGTATCTTTTATCCAAGAGAAGTTTCCTTGCAACAACACCTCATTGCAAGCAAAGACGCAAGCAAAGAATCAATAATTGTGATGCTAGTTTGGCTAGATGATAGTGTTTCTTATTCATTCGCAAATTGTTTCTATAGAGTTTGTCTACATGTATCAGTCCACAAAAAATGATGATTTTCTCGATACATTCAAACATCATTTCAATCATAAGGTTATTGCAAGTGTAGAATAGTAGAATAGTAGAATGGAGAAGTCACGAGTAAATTCACCACCGGAAGATATCTTCAGGTGGGTTTGACAATCTCACAAATCATTTCTGCCAAAAGGCAAAAAGCCACAATCACAGAGTAACATCATGACAAGTTTTACAAATTCGAACATTTGCAGATTTCCCCTCTTTTCAGCCTTTCAGATGCCAGTGATAAGAGAGATCATCAGTAACGTCGTGCAACATGAGTTCATTGTCATACTCCAAAACTAGGTACAAGATGGTACCCACCAAAGACGAAGATATCATCGCCGCCGCCGAAAGGTTAGACGAAGAAACCGAGGAAGCGGTACCACCAGAAGAACCTGTCACGGGATTCAAATCGAAATGGGAAAGTGTCACGGGTTTCTTCTCGAAATGGAGAAATTTATTGGATCGAGAAACGTGTGTTGAACCCATCCATTCTACACTCATCTCTCGTATCCTACAATAGTAATCTTACTAACACCTCCCAGCTACCCCGGCTCCATACTCTTCAACCTAGGAGCCTTCATCCTCCCCGCACTCTACTCCACCCTCAGCAAACTATGGGTCGCCAACATCGATTCCAGCCAAGTAGTCACCACAGACATATACACCTACATCGGCGTAATAGTCGAAGTCTTAAACGAAGGAATCCCCCGCTCCGTCTGGGTCATCATAGCCGATGAATCCAACCGAAACCTTCAATCCCGTCTATCCCTCACCTACACCCTAATATCTTTCCAAATCCTACTCGGTACCCTCCTCATGATAATTTTCCTCTCAAGCGCCGAACATCTCGCTGCAGCTTTTGTCCCAGAAGTCGTCAGACATGCTAGTCTGACATATGTGAGGATATCGTCGGTTCAAGCATTATCGAGCGCGATGAGCACCGCGGTGGCGAATTCAACCAGAGCGTTGGATCATCCAGATGTGCCGTTGTTGATTAGTACAGTGCAGTTTGCGGTTAATATTTTATTGGATTTACTGATAATTTCTCGGTTTCATGTGGGGAGTTTTACTCCGACGATTAATACACAAGCGTTGATTAGGATGGCGTGTGATCTTGCTTCGGCGGGTTGTGGTTTGGGGTATTTCTTTTATATTGCTTGGGAAATGCAACGTTCTTCTACCTCTAATTCGTCCACATCGTTACTAGAAACCGACTCCCCTTCTTCTCCATCCACACCAGAATCCTCACCCTCACATCCAGCCTCACCCCTACCCTCACCTCCCCCCAAAATAACCCTCTCAGCCCTAAAAACTCTCTTCAAACCCGGAAAATGGACATTCCTTGAATCCGCCCTCCGCAACGCCATCTACCTCTGGCTCATCCATAATATCGTATCAATGGGTCTAGATTACGCTACTGCATGGGGTATATTCAACAATATTCGCTGGGGCATCATCATGGTACCTGTCAACGCCTTGGAAGCTTCGACATCGACATTTGTAGGTCATGCATGGGGAGCATGGAGGAAACGTGTTGGACTTGAAACCAAGAAACCAAAGGCTGAGAGGGAGGATATTCTGAGTATGTTTTTTTTTTCCTTTCTGGATAGTGGACACGAAGAAAAGAAAGGTAAGACAAGATAAACAAAACCCAAAAACTAACGCACTCCAGAAATCATCCACCCCGCCCTCCTCTCCTCCCTCCTAGCCCTCCTTCTCGAAATACCCCTCTGCATCTTCCTCTCCCTCTGGGGCATCAAATCCCTCTCCTACTACCTCTCCTCCTCACACACCGTCGCCGCCATCACAGAACACATGTGGCGCACCATCGACTGGTGCTACATATTCTACGCCGTCACAACACAACTTGCCGCTATCCTCCTAGCAACAATCCCGAAATTATATTGGGTGCAAAGTCTGGGAAGTAATCTGTTGTGGATGTTACCGTGGGCGATAGCGGTAAGTAGGATTCGTATGGAGGCGGGGAATGCGTGGATGTTTCATGGGATTATTTTTGGGGGGGCGTTGGTGTTTGATTTTGTTAATGTGGCGGTTGTGTTGGGGTGGTGGTGGTGGGGGTTGAGGAGGGGGAGGTTGGGGGTTGGTGCTGTGGCAGTGGGCTAGGGGGGGAGGAAATTGATCCTGAGGACATTAGATATTGTATCCCCCAAACACATTCGACTCTAGCCGACAATAATGATATTGAGATTTCAGATATGCAACAAAAGTGCACAGCAACATATCGAAGTGGAAACTAAGTGTCAAATATGTGAAGCCAGATAGCATTGTTTCCAGAATAGTCTCTTCATACCTTAATCGATTCCAGGAATTTAAATACCTCACCTTTTATCAAAGAGGTCTTTCTTCTATTAATCGTTATATAGCTCCATTCAAGTTTAGTTAATGAGGTAAATGGTTCCCAAGAATTAATTTCCTGATTCCATATTAATGCCAGACTCATCTAATCTATCCTATCACTCTAATCTTCTGACTATCTCTATAACAGCTTTCTCAGTAAAACCGCATAAGTCATTAATATAGATATTGCCTATAATACTCGAGTAAATATCAACATCAACATCAATATTAACAGACAGATATAGTAACCAGATCCGTTATTATATTATTATATTCTTTGAACTGGAAAGAAAAGAAAGTTAGAGTTAGTTAGATTGGATGTATACTCGCTTCTCTGTATAAAATAAGCTAGACATCAAATATATATTCATAATTTCATACATATTATCTGTACAGAGACATAGATAGAGAGAGACGCTAACTAATCTCACACCCTCCAATTTCCAATTTCCAATTTTCAAATCCCAAATCACAAACCTCCACTCACCATTTTTCTCAAAACACTCAACTTCACCCTCCCACATTAAATATCAACTAACCCTCCTCCCCCCAAAACACACCCCTCACATTCGAAAATCCCTTCTAAAACCCGAGAAAATCTCCAAAGACACTCAAAAGTAAAATAATCCATGCATTACCATTATCATCAACAACCACTACAAATTACCTCATTATAAATCATCAGCATTATTTTGTTCACTTCCCTTCCCTTCCCCCTTCCCCCTTTCCACTTCCCCTTCCACCCTCTCCTTCCTTCGCTTCCTCCCAAGTTCAACCGATTTTTCAATCAGCCTCAAGGCCCTCAACTTTTCCATCTAATCTATAAAATAAGATACAATACAATAAAATACAGTACAATACATATAATACCCAAGTTAATAAATACCCAAGTATATCATATAAGATCACATCACATCATATCCAATCATCTCAAATCACAAACCCCAAACCCCATTCTCCTCCTTTGTCATCACCATCACCATCACCATCAACCTTCCTCCATCCCATTATCCCCCACACCATTCATTACTCACTCACTCATACTCATTCATCCTTACATTACATTCAAGTCACACCACATCATCATATTATATCATACTATAACTACTACGCTACTACAGTACAAGTTAACTTAACATACTACTTGTATACCGGTAGTGGTGTATATGTACTCGAGTAGGATAGCTACACTTACTACTACACTGGGTACTCAAAAGCTCCAATTCCAATCCAGCTCCAGCTCTAACTCAATCCTAATCCGAATTCTAATCCGAATTCCAATTATAATACTACATATACTCTATACTCCACACCACATACTACGTATCCCATCCCATATCACATACATACTCTATTACAGTATACATTCTATATATATATACTCTATCCCATATCAATATCCTATACTCGTACTATATACATACTCCATCCCATACTCCATCCCACACACACTACATCATCTCCTACATCATCTCCTACACCATCTCATCTCAATATTCGTTCTACTTACTATATAATTGAAAATATATATATATATATATAGATGATTCTATCTTCTGTCTTCTATTACAATTTCACTTCACCCCTTCATTTCAAATCTTCACATAAAAAATTCACTTGACACCTTCAGAATTTCAGATCTTCACATCAAACCTTCACTTCATTTCAAAACTTCACTTCACTTCTTCACTTCACCCCTTCAATCTCAACCCTTCACTTTCAAATCTTCACATCAAATCTTCACCTCACTCACCCCTTCACTTCACCCCTTCACTTCACTTCACAACTCTACATCACATAGAAAAACCCTCTCGACCCCCCTCACCCCCTCAAAACCCCTTCAAAACACCCTCAAAACAAACCTCCTCAAAAAACCCCCCCCTCTAATAAAACCCTCCAAAAACACATCTTACATCTCAGCACCAGAACCCACCAGAACCCACCAGAACCCACAAGAACTACACCACACACCACACAATACAAAATACAAAATTACTCTCATTAGACCATAAAAGAAAATCGAGTATTTGATAACTTTACTCGAGTAATAATCTTAATAACTTTAATAACTTTAATAACTTGAATAACTTTAATAACTTTACTTGAGTAATAATTTTAATAACTTTAACAAGATCAGATAAGATAATAGATAATAGCGAAAAGCGAAAAGCGAAAAGCGAAAAGCGAAAAGCGAAAAGCGAAAAGCGAAAAGCGTCAAGTATTACTGTCACGATCACGATCAAGTTAAATTAAGTTAAATTAAGTTAGCTCCAGTCCAGAACAATATTATAAGATCATGAGGTTTATTTATACGGAGTAATATAATATAACATTTCACTATCCACCATCCATTCACTACCCATCATCATACATACCAGAACCCAGAACCCAAATCCCAATGCTATTCCCATTTCCATTTCCATTTCCATTTCATACATACATACTGAACCAATCATACAATTAAACTCAATCAATTCTCAATTCTCGATAAGATCATCTGCCCAAGTTCAAAAGCCATACCATACCATCCATCACATCTACGAGTATCTAACCCCTCCATTCCGCCCCATTACCCACACCAACACCAAGACTCCCTTCACCCACCGAAGGCATCGTTCCATCCTCCTCACTCTCCTCTCCATCATCATCCAGAATCCTCGCCAACTCATCCGGATCCTTCATCTTCGCATCACCATCCAAATCCTCCAAATCCGCCGCATCAGCATCAATTACTCCACTTTCCTGCTCTGCAAACGCAAATGATGCTTGTCTTTGGTTTTCCCCCGCAAGTACATCTTCATCTGCACTAACCGAGATACCTCTTGCTCCCCATTTACTACCACCGCGTCCTAATTCTGGTCGACCATTACCTGCGGGACTGGCTTCCTCATCGCCTTCATCATCTTCGGTTGCGGTCATATGTTTATTGCCCAATACACGGCTCAATAACCATCCTCTACTTATATCATCGGCATCAACCACTCCTCCATTCCTTAGCTTGACACGTTGGCGAGTGTAGTATACCCAGGCGAAATCAATATAAAATGCTGTTTGGATGACTCCACCGATGATCGATATCGCATCTGGTGATCGATCGTTAATATCTAGGGATCGCCAAATCCAGTTTAGGATGTAAAAGAATCGGTAAGAGCCAAGAGTTACGAGATAGAATGAATCGAGAACGGTAGGAACAGTGGTTTGTCGAAGAAGGAGAAGTTGTGGGAGGATACAGGTAGATTCGAGGAGGATAGAGAAAACCCATAGAACCTGAGACATTTGATTAGCATCGCACATTATAGATCTCCTAAGAATACATACCTCCATAAAACCCCAAGCAAACTTCCTTTCAAAAATAATCATAAGAATAGGTGCCAAAACAGCACTTCCCACAAAACAAAGACCGCCCAACTTCCACGCCTTTTCACGTTCCCTCGTCCGTGCATATACTCTCAACATGAGAAATAGGATATAGAGCGAAGAACCAACATAGAAGATCTTGAGGATAAAGTTCCAGAGTATGAAATAACCCGCGAATAGATCGAGATAGCGAGTAATAAAGACCATGGCATAGAGAGATTGAGTAATGAGCGAGACACCTTAGAAACAGTGAGTTTGTAGACACGTAAAGAGGTTCAAGAGAGAAATACCTTCGGCAGATGAGTTCCTATGAATGGCGTATATGAGGATACATTTCGAGAGAGTATGGGAGATATCTCCCAGTATGCGGAAGAACTACATGCTGTTAACATATGTAAAGCAGGAGATGGGGAAGGGGGAAGGGGGGCTTTAAATGCGCCCAAGGATTGACATACATTGAAGCCGACCATCTTGTTCGTTTGTATGTGCGAATCCCCAATTGTGTTGTATTGGAATCGATAGTGAGGGAGGGGTGTATGTGTGATCGAGAAGCTGTCAAAGCTACTGTCAAAGCTATGGTATCAAACAGATTACGCGTCGCGGGCGTTATGCGACAGTATGCTGCATCGCTGTGTAACTATTGGAGAATCGAAAGGTTGGCTTGTTTATGCAACATTCAAAAGAACTATCAGATCAATAAATGATGACAGTTTATTCTATAGTAATGAAAGATAAATAGAGGAACGGAACTGGGGAACAGGGGAAATATGTAACAAGCTGTTCCTTTAGCTTCAGCGATTCGACTGTGGCTGGTGCACTGCCTGCATTGCATTGTGGCTGAAGCTACTCGAAGTACTCGTAGTAGTTATCAATATGTGTTAGGTAAGCAAGAGACCAATCTAATCTAATCGCTCCATCTCCCTCAACATTAGTGATATGGACTTTGATTTAATTATCAAAAATCATCCATACAGAAATCATCGACATTGAATAATAGAATAGTTGTTGATATATTATATCTAAAGCTGGGTATCAATGCAAACCATAGACCCATAGACCATCAAGCCCACCTTTAAAAAAGTACATATGGAAAAACTATAGACAAAGTTATCTGAGATCTACAATCTCCCATAACGCCCTCAATACAGATAATCCTCCTCCCTGAGTTTCTACAGTTCTTCCTCTACCTCGATCGTTGGGATCTTCTATCCCAATACGACGATAATCTCCATCCGTGTATCCAAAAGCCTTCTTCCCTTTCGCTCCCTCGGGGTATTTATCACCTCTCCATTCGGCGTTCTTAGGAACTCCCATATTTCGGTAGTCTACAGCATATTCTGGACTCTGATCCGGTGTATCATCACTATAAGAACTATGCAAAGCCGGTACGCCCCACCACATTCCAAATCTCCCTCCTTCATCCTTAGTATCCAATGCAGCCTCAGCATTTCGTCTGATCCAACTTGCATACTTTGAGCACTTGCCAGTATGCCACTCTCTATCGAGCTTGAGAACCTCTTCAGTGCCTGCGATAGGGGTTTTTGGCAAATCGCTACAGAACGCTGTCAGATGATGGAAGAATATGCCCTTGAAAGTTTGCCCGTTTTGAGAGCAGAATCCACCTGAATCGCAAGCTTCTTCTAATATCCCGTTTCTACCCAAACCATACCATTTCGCCAAAGCGGAACCATCTTGGGGTGGTGGTGAAATGGCAATATTATCCTTCAAATCGTAGCCTGTGGCGGCAATAACATCCGATATGAGTTTATGGCCGTCCGAAAGATATGACCGTGCGGCAGTGGCGTCATAAAGACCACGTTGTCCAGTAAGTAAAACACCTTGATTATAGGTATATACCATCTCATTTCGAGAATCACAGTGGGTATTGTCACCACCAGAAAGATTCGAGATGTGGTAACCATCAACGTATAATCCGTTTAGATCAGTCATATTCGAACTGTTCAGCCATTTGTACGCATCAACAGCAGCTTTCAGATACTTCGCATCGCGAGGTGGATAGGTGGGATTTGAGAGCATGAACGGAGATTGATTAGAGTCCCCAGGAAAATATAGATACATCGATATCGAAGCAGCGATATAGAGTTCATTGGTGATTGCGTTCTTGTACGGAAGAAGGTAAGGGGACCATATCATCCCACCACCACAGAGAGTAGTATCCCATCCTTGTGATGCCAATTCCCAAAAGAGTCGCGCACGATGAGCAAACGCAGGTTTGTATTGTTTTCCGTACCATTCTGGCTGTGAGGAATTCGAATAATGTAATTCGGAGTGTAGGTCAATGAATTTGACCGTATCCAACCAACCAAGAACCACCCATAACATATCATCATAAGCTTGTTGTCGTAAAGAGAACGCATCTTGGCCAAAATAAAAGCCAATTAATTCAGCAAAATACTTGTTAATAATATTCTCGTTCGACTTTGGCGAAGAGAGTGCAGAGAAAGACTTTGTGAGAGTAGTAAGGGCACCAGCGACATAGGTGCCTGTATAGAAATGCGGGTTAGTTATTGCTCTAATTTAATGTAGACATATGTGAGAAATTCAAATACCAATGACCGCTGAAGTCCAATCAATTCCTGTTGGGTAAAGGCCTTGCCAAGTCGCAAAGTAATCTCCTTGTAGCACGTCCAGCGCGCTCGCCATTGCCGGTAGAATCTTTGGGTCTTTAAACTTGATGGGATCTTGAGGATGCCCGCCCGTTGCTATATCTTCGTTATTCGTAAGTGGTCGTTGAATTGGATCATTTTGTCGCACAACGTCATTTGAACTCGCAGATATGCCAATTGAGAAGAACAAGCCGCAGAATATACACAGCAGTAGTAGAGACATGCGCGATCGTATATTGGTGACAATTGAGAAAGAAATCATGATTGAGGCTTCAATTGAGGCTTCTCCTCTGGTCGAGTGGTAGGTAGCAATATAATAAATATGTAGAGTATGAAATGCGAACAAAATAAAATGATAGCAATAACAAAAGGATCTATCTCTCTATCCTTCTAATATTCAAGGAGGAAATGAAGACATTTACATTGATATTTACATTCAATATAATACAATATAGGGAACATACATTGAAATGTCCACGAGGTCTTACAAAGGGAAGAAATAATAGATAGATGGATCGATCACAGATAAGGTTCGAGGTTGGGGTGAAGGAAGTCCTCGTGTTGCCCGGTCTTGGAGAGTGCCAAGATAGCCTTTACCCTTTTGGGATTAGTCGATTCAGAATAGCGGAGGCGCGGGGTTATATCATATGTCATTCAATAGAGGCATGATAAAGTCACAGCTACTCGTATCTTTATGGGAAAAACATCATTTTCGGTCATCTACACTAATGAGGTTGTCATTGATGCCATTTCAATCCCCTCGATACTACCATAATGTATTCGCTGTGTACACTGTTCCGTATGTCGTGGTATGACTAGCGTATACCTAACTACATAAACATACCGTATATTCATTCACATGATTTTCTGGGCAAGGTGTTGAGTGATGAAGTGTTTTCATCTGACACAGAATGGGTAATATCTGGAGATGTTATGATACATGTTAGATATTGAATGCTACATTGCTGTCATGTAACTGGCAGTTGGAATCCTACAGACTAAACTGCACGTCTAAAAAGTGCACTGACTCAGTTGGTTAACTACCTACTGACTACACTGTATCCATTCATCAAGTCGGATGTTTGTACGGGAGAAGCGAATGTGAGTAAGATCTAGGAAAATAGACTTTATTCCCTGTATCTAGATAGATGCAATGCTCTGAGATTCAAACTGGATGTGTTGTGTCCATCAGAAATACCTTTCTCCGGTATGCGATGCTACTAGGCTTGTTATCATGATGTGTCCAAGTGGACATCGATTCATTGTATCCTCTTATTTATGAGTAAGTCTGGAGTGATCAGATAAGATACCTAGATGTTCAGGCGGGGTACGCTCACCAATATATTCGTCTGGTTTATACCAATTAATTATGAGAAGTGTTGGAATGGGGATTGAATGAAAATGACACATTGCTCATCTCTAGATATGAATAGATATGAATAGATAGTATATAATAATATCCAGATAGTGGTGCTTTATCAAATACTATCTTCTAGTTTACATGCCCTGGTTATCGTGAGTTTTGGGGTTAGTTTCCTATATTGAGAGCTTATGAGATGATTGTAATGGGATGATATGAGGAGAGATGATACGTCAGTAGGCGTTCCAAAATGATGAATTGTTCACAGTAGCATGTATTTTGAGTATATCAAAAAAGACATCTGCTATTTATCCTCTGATTATCGGCACCGTTAGATGGCGAAATCAATCCATAAACACAGGAGAATTAAACATCATGTGCAGTAAACCTCCTGCATTGAGATAGAAATACTTTTATATACTGGCTACTAGTATAAACAAATAGGTTTTTATTCTCACACCCGATATACCCGATATCCCTGTCAAATAACCACCAAAATACCAAACCCGCAGCCAGAATCATACTCTGGGCCTCAGCGCCAACAATACGTTGAGAGACTGAGAACACCTTATCATTGTTGCTAGTAGCACCTTTGCAGATCAACGATGTCCAGACTCCAACTTTAACCCTGCCTCAAATGCCCTCGCTGTGTCACTATGTCAACATCGTAATCTTACCTTTTCTAGCATCCTTCAAATCTTGGTAATATTTTCTAATGATCTCAAGCCACTGGCGCATTAAATTTATTATGTTAACAAGATTTCGTACCCACTATAGTTACAAGTTACCAAATATGAGGGACCTGAAAGCCCAAAACACTCGTTTTCTAATCAAGAGATTCAAATATCTGAAATTTGGAGTTCATTTGATGGGCCGCGGTCATTACACTAGTAGTATCACGTCCAACGAGATTTCTCTTTAGCTCCATGAATATGGAATATGAGCTTCAGGTGGTGTAGCTTAGGACTTCTTGAGTATGCAAAAGCAACAGGAAATTCGGTTGGAAATTTACGATACTCTAGTCCTAGATAGTTAGATTGTGGTGCAGGGTATCGTGGTCTTGGTATTGGGAGAAATATATCTTGAATAGCTTGGAGGTAGTTGTTTATGATCTAAGAACTGTCACATATGGGTAACTTGATAACATTTAGATATATTTCATTGGCAAGAAATAGAAATACAATATGTGTTACAGATACCGGTATAGTAGATTCCTAAATTCCGGCACTGAATGTGGTTACTGAAATCTGGGTAGTGTAGTTAGTGTAGTGGAGGGGGGAAAATCATACTCTAGAAATTTAAGCGAGGATATATTTGGCAATGCATATGGTTGAAGAGCTACATCACTCAAGCAAGTCTCGATGGTAAACATTCAGAAGAACAATACGTTGAGTTATGTAACAACAGGCTAGATGAGGTTATCGTGCTTATACTCGAGTACCGGTATTGAAGAAGGGGTTAGTTGCTTGAAACTTGCTACTAGAGTAGAGTTTAATGTTTCGATATTATCAAAAGCTAATACTCATTCAAATGACTTTTGGCATTCAAGGGATTCTGGTCTTCTTATCAAGTATTTTCTGTGGACTCGGATGACGACAAAACAACTGAAATAGGCAATAGAAAATAAAGATTATATCAAATAGACAAAGAACTTGAAATAGTTGTTGCCAGACTAGCCCAGAAATAACGAGCTAACGATACATGTACATCTCCATCACCCTAATCGCTATATCTTTTCTCCAAACGAGACAAATCTGCGCACACAACACCCCATATGACCAACCCTAATCCAATCGCAACTCCTCTTTCAAAGCCTCAATTTCGTCCGCGCTCGCCAGAGGCATGGAGCTATGTAAGGCATTTCTCAACAACCAAAAATGATCAAGCAAATTCCTCACCAAGATAATATTGCGCAACATATCCTGTTCCATAACCTTCATTGACCTGAAGTAGCATCAATTATTATCAGCTATCCTTTCATAAACCGCGAGAATCATATACATACGCAAGATATTGAGCTCGACCAGAAACACCTAGTTGTTCAATATAAACTCTCACCTGATCAATACGGAATATCAAGGATGAATGTGCGTTGGAAAGATAGTCGATGCGTTCTTCTAGTGTTAGAGTTTGCATCTTGGTGTTGAGTTCGGTGATGCCGAGGAGGATCTTCCTTTGGTATGATTCGATGAAGTTGGGGGTGGGAATTCTTTTCTTCTTTGACACCATTTTTGATGTTTGTAGGAGAGTAGGATAGGAGGAGATCTATGGATAGATGTTAGAGTGAGCTTGAGGTTCGTAGATAGGCAGGTTGAGTACGTACACACTGGAGAGGAGAAGAGGCAAGTAGATCAGAGGGAATTCTTGATGGCGTGGGTAGATTTGCTTTCGATAGTAGAATCATTTGTCTAATGAGTAAGTGAGGCAGAGATATAATTATGTGATGTATCTATCATCGAGACTTTTTGTAAGAAAGTAGATCTTCAAGATATTGACCTATTATTTTTCCTTTACATTGGAGTAAAGATAATACCACACAATGAAAGTTTCGAGTAGCTTCCTGAAGAGTATATACTCACCAGTAATGGAGGGAAGCTCATAGTTGCCACAGAAACGAGAAGAGAATTATGTTTCTATATCATGTCTTTCTTTCAAATTCTACACTGTATCTTTCTTTAATGTAATACGGCCGGTGTATCTGTCATAGTTCGGACCAATGTCTTCAGTGCTGCATTTAAAGAATCAAGTTTCAGATAGCTATGAAACTTCAACTTGAGCCTTGTCATCTGCATATATCCAGTGATCAGTGTATTTAATTTGTTTAAATCAAATCGATATACCAAATATTCCAAATACATGAACGGGTTACGAACTTCTCATTATGTGAACCCAGTCTGAAATATTGTACTCGCTGAACCGGTACTTCAAGTCCAGTAGATAAGGATAAATAAGTAAAATGGGTTAGAGAGTATGAACAACTTTTACTTGGGAATCTGATCTGAAAGTTCCGGATAGTCAAGTCGGCGCATGTATACAGAATTATGTTCAATCATCGCAGCTGTGGACAGGTTTTCAAATTAATGGAACAAAAGTGTGTAGATGTTTCAATCAAAGCTATTCATGAAGTCTTACACCCGTCAAAATTATAGTGTATCCGTGACTCCAAAACTATCTTCATCTTAAATACTCCTTAACCAAAGGTGTAGCCATCCTTCCCAAAATTTCGCCAGAGACAATTAAGATGGTATCATTCGAGATGAGGTATATTCCATACATAACTATCCAACGCCAAACGCCCACAAAATCAATATGTACGGTGAATACGATACTCTCAATATCAATCCGCTAGCTACCACATTCTATCCATTCTCAATTAAAGACTCGACTGCCTCGAAACATTCTTTACGTTTTCACCTTTTTCTTGTAACGACTCGAAGTCAAACAATTTGCAGTATTTCCACTGTGGAAACCTATTGTGATCTCGGAGAGACTGCATCAAAAGGAAGGGGTTAGCATAGTCTTTGAAAAGTGGCATGTGCCTGGGATTCTGCCAGAGAAAATGTTGCAACTCACAAGTTTGCTTCCTTTAGCTCCATGTCTTACTCCCAGATCATCCACCATCTGTCTTCGAGTCTCCAAGCTGAGATTTTCGCTCGCAGTGTTTGAGAAAAAATCATACACCTCTTGAATACGAGCTTCGATACTGTTACGCATGGTAGAAGATTCGGCCATCAACTTGAAAGCAGTGCTAAATTGCCAAACCGATCAGCTTATGTTTCTTTTGTATGATGCCTGTGCATCTTCACAACACAATATTGAACTTACTCGATCTTGCGTGCAACATCTTTATCGTCTGCGACATCCAATTTCCTCAAGAGAAACAGATACTCCTCAGCATTCTTAATATCCACCTGGAAGTCTTGAAGATGCTTGTTCAAAATTCGCAATCTCGCCTGTACAGTATACCGGAAGAGATTATTCAGTTCCTTGTTTACCAAGGATATGATTAGGCGATGCTTGAGGATTACTGCTTCCGAATCGTATTCAAACCCAGACTTGCCACAAATACGGCGCCTTTTGAACTCAGCTTTTAAAGCCTCTGGACCTTCTGTCTCGTCTTCGATGCCATTCTTTTTGTTTTCCGCCGAAGACGCCGTGTTTTTATGCAGTAGTACTCGTTCGAGGGATTCTGTGCGTCTTAGTATGGCGTTAACTGTTTCGGCTCGAGTCATTGTGTCAAAACTCTGTATAGTCATTAGCTGGATGTCTAACAGTCTCTGCGAATCACATGATTCATCCCATTCGTGCATACCTTTGTCGGATACGATTCCATGTCCTTGCCAATACCGGAAAACATGTCGTAGTTATCTTTCGCTCGGGATTGAGGACTTTTGATTTGATGGAGTCGTGATACAAGGATAACAATCAGATTCGAGATTTCGAGAATGGTGATGGAGGGGAGTAGATCAAAGGTATCGCATGAACCAATGAACCTATCAATATTTTGGAAAGGATGTATTTAGTATGATTACAGATACCGGTGGCTGGTAAATGGATTCGTGAGAAGTAAATTTATATGCACATAGATAAACAAATATATAAGTTTAGATGCTTATTGGACCGTACTAATTTAGAAACCTCGTTGTTACTGCTGTGTTGCACTTGCTGTACTGAAATCGGCAAACAGCTCAGATTAAATAAGCGACGTATCCAGGGGATCGCCGTACGGACTGGTCCGTGCGGCAGATACTACTGTAGATAGGTGTGCTAGTCATAACACTAGAGAACTTTATCTTTGAAATAACAACTAAAATAGAGGGCCTATATCCAAGGCAGTCACAACGCCTACATCCAGGAAGTCACAACTTCACTAAAATGATCAAGAATGGCCGGTCATAAACTACGGAAAGAAAAGTCTGCTAGCTCCACCAACAAGAACAATGACGACAACCACTCTGCAAATACCAGGCGCAATCCAACCAATGAGAATGATCATACCCGTTTCTATTTCTCTATCAGTGATGCTATGCGGCGTTGAGACAATGAGATCCATTTTCTCAGACTTCTCTCCTTCACCGTAATTCTCGCAATCCTCATCCTATTCGCATTCCACAGATACAAGGTCTCCCGACTCGAGGCACTACTGAAGGCAAAAGACGAGCAATACCTTGCAGTATTGGCTGGTGGAGTTGTATCGGGGGCGAGGGATATTTCTGTGTATACTATGATGTTAGATCAATTTGTGGGTCTGATCTACATCATCGTTATTGTGGTCGGCGTGATTACCTGGTTGTAAGTAGCACGATCAAAAGTCTTCTCGATCATTAATATCTTAGTCTGTTGGGTGGTACGCTAACTATTGTTCTATTCAAGTCTCAAGATTAGTGAATACTAGTTTCGATTTAGGTTAGGCATCCGCAGATCCGACATTATCTAAGTTCGCTAAACGATGAGACTCGTTTTCCAAAATCCATCAAGGCAGAACGGCGCAATTTCGGATATATCATAAGGATTTACAGGGCCTCAGTATAGCTAGGAACGTTTTGCTTTTCGACACCAGTTTTGATTCTCGTAACCTTGTTATTACGATCTTTTTTGATAGAGGATGCGAGGATTGGTGTTTCATGATGGTATGTCGGGGTTTGGGCAGAGATTATTGCTTTGTATGTTAGTAGCCTATCCAAATAAACACGATTACTTTATCTGATTTCCGAAATGGCTCAATGCTGCGTTCTTTGCACGTGAAACTAGGCACAAAGATCTACACTGGAACCTAATAACAGAGAACTTCGCCGTGCTTTAGGTACAAATGTTGGTGAAGAGGAGAAGAACAGTCAACCACAAGAGACAAAAGAGAGTGCCCCGTACGCTGGATGGATGTATTGCATGATCTGAGGTAATAAATATTAACTACAATTTAAGGAATGCTTTCCAACCTTTGCATAATATGCCAACTGCATTAGACATCCTTCCCCACCATCCTTTTGTGATGTATCCCATTAAACGCCAGAAGACCCATTGCTGCAGAACCAACCCTCGATAATCCATCAGATCCATTCCGCCATCGAAATAGTAACATTGGCAGTCAAAATATGCCAGTACCTGAAAAGCTGAAGTGAGAATGGCAGATTTATTACCTCGAACTAGAACAGACTCGGAGAATTGTCTATCATCTCTAAGAACCCGACGTTTGGTTTCCGTCATCTTGGCTTGATCGTAATTCTTCCTTGGGACGACCAGTATACCCCGGTGGAACATAATCAAAATCCACACCAGCTGCAGTAAAGTAATCGAGGAGGGATACTTTGTTCTTGGGAAATGCATTAAAAAAAGCTCTGCTCTCAACCGGGTATCTAGTGAACATCTCCATCCAAATGTCGATGTTTCTCCCTGAATCAATTGGCTTGCTCTTCGTGGCCTATTATATGTGAGTAAGACCCCATTCAGGATTAGATAAAGATCTTTGGGAGCACTAACCATCTGTTGATCGGAAGTGAGCTGCGGGAACATTTCGGCAATTGTCTTTGGATCCGCTTTAATCATTGGCTGGCCAAATCTAGCATGGTCATGGAGGCACAATCCACGGAACGATAACTTTTCAGCGGGTGCCGGATGAAGGGTGTTGTGCAAGTCCTTCAGCTTGAAAGTTTTCATGGTAGCCTTATAAAACGCGACATCGACCCCTTGCTGAACTTGACGAGTACCGACATTTGGGACAGAAGCTCCATGGAGTCTAAGACCATGAAGTCGCAGCATCTCCGGAGCGGGTTGATGGAGTTGATTGTGGAGTCCCAACAGCTTTACGTTGTGCACGGAGCGAGTGGAAGGGATGCTCTTGTTGTGAAGTATAAGTTGGGCAGCCGCATAGGCGGTAGCCCGAGCTTGATATGTCAATCGAAACATTTTGTAATATTGGTAAATGAAAGAAAGATTCAAGTATATGTTTGTCGTGTTCGTGGTATATGTTTAGTTGAGATGATGGTTGTATGCTAAGAAAATCTCTATATTTGAAAAGTAACTCGAAATGTAAGGATGAAGAAGAGGAAATATCATATCTTATAAGCAGTAAATCGAAGGAAACTAGACTAAACAAGTACACTGTACAAGCGTCAGTTAGGATATGTTTGTCTGAGCTTCTTTAGATATCGGACTAAAGTGACTAATTAATAACTTGTATCTAAACTTGATTCCCTATGTACCGTATACTTTTGAAGAATTCGGATTTACTTAGCAGGGATTACTTGTCTCGGTATAGGGAAAACTGGATGAAATCCTGTATATTTCGACTCAAAATAGTATAGCTGCTGATCAGGTGAAGGATTCATCCAATAAGAATACCAGAGTTAGGCCTGTCAGAATAACCTTAAACTTTATTCCTGCATAGCAAAACCAGTTTCTTCAAAAGTGTACGGTAACTTGACATCTTTCACTGCCGGTCACAGTGTGGTAAATACTCAACCAGTTAAATTGTACACTGATTAAACTGGCAATTTGAGATCCAGATTACAAGTCGGTGTAGTTTATAATACTAAAATTGTCAGTTGGAATTTACGTTTTAAACCACTGACTAACTACACTGGCTGGTCATATTTTGAGACCAGAAAAATATGAGTTTGATTTCAAGACAAACCCAATCTCAGACTGTGCAAATTATCTTCACTCCAATAAATATGTAAAGAAGATCTTACACGCGTCCTGCCCGCCATCAGCAAAATTTGCTACTATCACAATAATTACAGCTCTCCTGGGCTTAGCGCACTAATAAAAAAGGCGTGAACTCTAATTCCAAGTTTGACCCAGTGGGACACTCTAGTATGTACTAGCAATTCTTAGTGTATGAGTCATCCTCGACTTCACTAACAGCGTCAAATTTAAGTACTTCTCCTCTGATTGGATATCTGCAAAAAGCGGGTATTGGTTCAAAATGATATATTAGATCAGCATAATCATCCTTATCAATTCCATTTCGAACAAATATATACAGGAAGTAATTTGTCCCTCTTCGATATATACAGTATACTGTATCAGGCCTCTATTACGTGTCACCGTTTTACTACTCCATACTAAGGCAACAATAGAGCCTTACTTATTAGTGACTATTCAGATAAATAGATGAAGTGCTGTTTTGAGGGTTTTGTTATATGATTGCGAATTGCGCCAATGATCGCCAAAACCCGATTTTTATATTAGTGGCGAGGTAAAATACTTAGGGCTAGAAATACATGAGATAAACCTCCGGCCCTTTATAGCTTCTCTCTACTGTATAATGTTCGAAATAAGATCCGTCCTTGATAATTTGCGACGATATAATCCTAAAATGAAATCAGGGTATTTACCGAAAAATTGATAAAATATTGTAAAATACTGAATCAGTGCCGGGTATTTTGAGGACTGATCAAAGTGGAATGGGCTAAGAAGAATAACCGAATTAGCTGGAGAGAAGTGGTGATTACAAAAAGAGTGGGACAGGCTGGAAAGACTAGCCGAATCAGCTAAAGGGGGTGAACTAGTTTAGAACAACACCGATACCGAGGTATCCAATTAGAGCCCAAGTCATTTACTTCACTATCATACTACACAAGAGTATTTATGGTGAAACAAGCAACGGTAAATATTTATTGACATGTGTAAACATTGAAAAGCAATAGAGAATCCGCCCCGTGGATAATTCACTGAAGGTTCTTAATTACCTACGGGTACCCATTGGGATCTTGAAATAACCCGCCCCATGGGTAAGTGGATTATCTGCGGGCTGGTGAGTCATCCATTCAGATTTCCCAATTATCCGCCCTGTTGATGGATTAACCGCGGGGTATCAGATTGAAAATCCGTTGCGCAACCTCAGAATCAGAATCAGACAATGACATAATGGACGTTTCTTGTATTAAGTGTATTCACTCGAGAGATAAGCGGTAACGAATCTAACCTGTTGTATTAATATACTTTGTCGTGAACTTGAGTTGCCTTGTAATTTGATCCCCGTGATATCATTTATACATTATATAGATCTCTGCGAGTAGACTTTACTCTAATCCCAGTTCTCAGTAGGTCAATCCCTACAGAGATTACTTCTAGAGGTATAGCAATTGACAACAGTCGAAATCTTGAGTAATTTTGATCCCCCCTCATCATCAAAACTGTAACTCACCACCGAGAAATGGCACACTTGCGTTATCTAACCGCAACTATCGTGATGGCTGAAGATATCACATTCAAAATGCTCAAGCTTTCCTTTTAGAACGTATGAAAATACTTTACCACATTACACTGACTTGTTGCAGGGATGATTACAGTAGGATTGTCACGGTAGTCGTCGGAACAGGCAAAGAGCAAGTCAAGATTTCTCGCCCCGCGGAAGTCCTCAATCTCCAGTCGAAGTAATTCGGAGAAACTAGGTACATTGCATGATGTTTGGGATACTAGGCTAACTGGATTCGAGGAACTATACGGCACATGGGAAGAAACCGTTTTTTGTTGAATCCTTGAGTATACTTTTCAACACTCGGAGTATTTCGGATTGAAGCTGCCTTTCATGAGCATCTCACAAATAGAAAAATAACCAAAATTAAGTGCGCATGGACATCATATGAGAGAAGTTATATGGATTCCTGCTATTAGCCCCTTGAAGATGTTTGCCTTGCCTCTCCGAACTTCCTACTGCGTTACCGTTTATCCCTGACAGAATCTTCTCCCCCAAAGCTTCCTTGATTACACGGAACGAATCTATTTCACTACACAGTACATCCTAGGAATGTAGACAAAAAACGTGACAAGACAACTTGGCTCATTTCGGCGGAACTATGGAAGCTTTTCCATCACATGGTAGAAGTCGTGATCCTGGTACCATGGGAATCCGTTATAATCATGAGTTTGGAGCTTTCGCAGCGACTGCTCAAGAAATTCGAGGATAAATTCCTGTGGGACCGTCAAGTTGGGACCATCCGGTGGATTGGAATTGTCAAAGTAGTGTATCTGCGCCATGAACCAGGGAGCATGGCGTGTTGAGTTGAGGGTGTCGAGAACCAGCTTTCTGAGAGGAGACCTGACAAGAGTCTTATCCCAGATAATATCGATGGTTTCTGCGCACGAATCGCAAAGCGGTGCCAACTCATTGGTTTCCGTTGGTTGGCCCTCGAAATCCTTCAGTGTTGCAACCAAAGCGTTCATTATGGTATTCATATACTTTGGAGCCTGTATATAGTCGGCCATAATGTAACAATTTAGGAGTTGCTTCCAACGTTTGGAGAGTTTTCGCGCACGTGTCTGGTCGTCATCGCTTTCCTCAGTCTTTTGCAAGCTACTCGCATGCTTGATATCACCCGCATTCAACCATGCCGTGAAAATCTCGAACGTTTCGGGTCTCTCGTGAGGGAATTCAAGTATCTTGTCGACCCCAAGCCATTTCTCAGCACAAGCTCCCTTGAAATAAAATGATTGGGCCGATAAAAGAGCTACTGAGACTTTAACTCTTCTTTCGTCCTTGTCGGAACCGATGACTATTGTAAAGACTTTGGAAAAGTCCTCCCTAATTTGGAAGTTAGCTTGATGGTGACCTTCCTCTAAGCTTAGACTGCGCCTTACAAATCGTATTTTACGTTGGAAGTCATTCTTGTATTTGTATCTTCTTGGAGTGATTTGGTTGATTTGAAGTACTGTGAGATAGTGAGAGTTCGTCCGTGGCTTTGTGAGTGCAAAATAGTATGCTTGTTCGTTGAACTTTGATGTTAGTTATTAAGAAACTGATGTCGAGGTTGTGGGAGGTTATGGGAGGTTGAAACGAACTTTATAAAAAAGTCGACAAGATTGCAATGGCTAACCGAGAAGCTAATGAATAAGGTCAGTGCTTCTCACTGTCTTTGATTGAATAATTGGAGCTGTAGGAAAAGCACGGCTGGCTGAGATTCATCCTATTTCTGGTGAATTGTTTTTGTCAATCGTGTTACCTTTCCGTATTTTGGGCATAACTAGGCTACTACGTTATCTTGGGTTTTGCACTAATAAGGCCTAGATAAGTTTGCTTGGGGTGAGACTAGATAATTAAAGCATCATTGTTACGGCTGTGAACTGTTTGAAGGAGCTTAAATTCAATGTGAGAATGGAAATTCACCGTACTCTCAGAAGTTAGATGGGAGCTCTGATATATAGGTCGCTAGCAAACAATATTTGTGCTCTTACATTTAAGCAAGTCATCCTGATCTGCGACAACTTCATAAAATAATCTACAACATAAAACTCATCAAAGTGGATGATCAGCCAGCCTGCAAGTATGCCTGATCTACATTATCCCACCGCATCTCCCGCGATGGTAAATGATATTATGGACAAGCTTTTAGTACTCTCACTGTAAGTTATTTAATCTCAATATCAAAAGATCTTCCGATGCAACAGAGTTTCTCACTGACTACATGTTCAGGGATGACTACAACGACACTGTTAGGGTCATCGTAGGAAGTGGTAAAAGGCAAGTCCAAGTTGAGTGTGCAGCAAAAGTCTTGGGGTTACAATCAGAATTCTTCCGCGTGAAAGCCGAATTTGATTCGTTCTTACCTCACGCAAACCACCAACGTCCCGTCATTGATCTCTCCGAACAAAATGTCGATGCTATGAGTATGTTTTTCGTGTGGAACACAACCGGAAACATCTATTCCGCCAAACGACTCTCCACAATCACAGTGCCCAGTGATGGGACAAAAACCACAAAAGAACTAGATGGGTACAGAATACTATGGGATCAGCTTTTGGAATGCTATTTCTTGGCAGATTACCTGGGAGCTCCTAACTTCGGGAATGCCATTATAGATGCTTTGTTCAAGGCTATCAATGACGAAGCGGATGATCGTGCAAGACTCGAAGTAAAGCCTGAAGAGAAAGATTTTGTCCATTCATTGGCACCGACGCCTGAGGTCAATAACGGAAACGACGATAACGACGATGAAGATGATGATAACGAAACTGTTGACGATGATGATGACCAAGAACGGGGAGGTTTGTCGGACCCTTTTGAGGAGAGAGTGCCCCAAAAAGAGATTAGGCAGATGCTTGGTACTTTGCCCTACCAGATTCAGCGAATGTACTCAAAGACCAAAAAGGGATCACCGCTCCGAAAGATGCTTGTAGATAAGATCATCAATCAAGCCATTACTATTGATCTCTACGAAAAACTACAATGTATCGTCGCGGAGGGTGTTCCAATAGAATTCCATCGAACCTTGGTGGATGAATTGATGCGCACTGCAGTCATAGTCGTTCATTGTGATCAAGGTGGACCTTATCGTCGTAGAGCGGACGAGCGATCCAGAGACAATTACCTCTATCACATACATAAAGTGGGAGAGAGGTGCATCTGAATTCAACATTGTGGAAGATATGAGAGTACCAAGGAGTTAGTCAGGAAGCCATGGTGAACTAGATCGGTTTGGTAATCGCATTTAAGGGATTGAAAAAGATTACGCGAAGGTATAGGCTACCAAATTGATACAGAACTTGTGGTGTGGACAAGAGTTTCATGACGCGGGACATCAATCATGTATTTTCTTTTCAATTCCAATGGCCTAGAGGTCAATCATTAGGTAGTAATAACATCATCACTTTGTCTCCATTTCTTGAGTACCGTTATCTCAAAAGACTAATCATCGTGACTGGCAACGTCAAAAGAAATGCTCGATCACTCTTTAAATCTAAACAGATCTGAACTAATTTTGTTTTGGCAATAGTCTTAAATGCAACTCATCTCCCCGATTTTTATACAAAATCTACGTCGGGCAATAGTTGCGCCAGAAGCGCTCTATACGATCACTAAGCCTGATGACAGTGGCAACGATAGTTTGACTTGAGCACGTTAGTGATGGGCGTGCAAACTCTCAATTAGGGTAACCTGCTTGCGACTGACTACTAATTAATGGAGCTTGGCTGAGAAACTCTCTTGGTAGCATTCGTAGAGTGTTTGACAATTAAACGACAAGCTCTGAGAAACAACAAAGCCAAATCTGTTTTGTGAGTTAATTCTTTAGACGAGGAATATTTGCTGATAGCTGATTAAACGAACTGAGTCACTTGCTGACACAAGATGTCTGAAACATGGAATTAAAAGAGTAAACCACAAAATGGATGAAAGAAGAAGAGTTTAGGGGCTGACAATAGTAAAGAAGAATATCTGTTAAGTTACTAGACCGAAACTTAGACCTCGTGCTTACCTGAAACTACTATAGTATTACTGAGTTATAAAGTACTATGTATGGAAATGAAAGGTCTTTTGGGCCCTAGTCTGACAATCGAATTCTTCTTGTGCTGAGATGTTTCATATGATATAGTCCCACAAGTGTGCATTTCTCTTCATGTGCAGTCAATCAATCAATGATATCGTTCATATTATTGGTATCAAAATATTCAAATACTGCTAGGCACTACCCGTACAACCTCGTCAGAAACCTCTTCTCCACTTTCCTCCTTTCCTCCCCAGCATAACCACACATCCATTTTTCCACCTTATTTTGCGGGGAAAGATTCATTCATCTCTAACCAACCCTAACCAATGAATTCCTCCTCATTCCTCCTGATCCTCCTCAATACGCATGCAGAGTACACTAGCCCTACCTTTTTCATAGTTGGGAAAAGGGGATTGAGGGAGGCACGTGTATTCCCCAACTGCTACTATACGTCTCAGGCTCTGTGAGTGCCACTCACGCGATATCCGTTGCCGAACTGAAAGTGAAGAAGAAGTTGGAAATCTAAGAAGTTCGTTCTTTTTTCCGGACAAACAGCTGGATATGCAAACATAATAGCTTTGTCCCAGGGTATGATCACACAGTTCGCCGGATATCGTATCATATGAAGTCATAGAAATCAAAATAAATTGCATGAAAGTCTAAGCACCTACTGGGTACGGTAGTTTGAACTCGGTTATTGGGCTGTACTGAAGTCGGTTACACTATCAATCTAGATATTTTGCCGAACTACCAAAACGCCTTTCTAATTCACTCAGTTGGTTCATCATCTGCCGTACTGTCAAGAACGACTATTTAATTCTCTGGGTTGCTCATTGAAACTTTTCCTATTCAACTACATCCCATTACATTCAACCTCAAGAAAACCAACACATCTCACAAATTCGACGCATCACTTTGTCAGAGAACACCTTTACTACAGACATTCATCCACTTAGATAAAGCTTCGTTGAGCAATATATTTCGATTATCGAAACATGGATGAGTGGTCAAATTGGGCAAATTGGGCCAACGAAGCAAATATAGCTGTGGAAATGGAAGACTTAATGGCGGCTAATTCGATGTGGAATATGCAAAATCTCGACGCCCCGGAGGAACATGATCTTGAATCCGCTTTCGAGGAGCTTGAAACACTAATTGCTGGAATGGATCCCGATTCTCTCCATCAAGTGATTGAACTTCTGGATGTTAACAAGAATATCCGCAATCGCTGGGCTCATCTTCAGAACGTACTCGGACTAGCCAGAAGTTTGGCCACAAAATGGTTTCATGCACCCGAAATGCCAACTACTGATAAGACTGCTTTGGCACCTCTTTCTGATGGATATGATGTGTAAGTTTTCCTAACAACAAGACAATGTATTTTTATTTACTAACACTTCTCCGCAGTGACGGACAGGATAATTATGCCAAAATCGTCACAGTATTGGTAGGAAGTGGAAAGCAGCAAGTCAAGTTCACAGCCATCGCAGGAGCTTTGGCCGCCCAAGCCAAGTTTTTCAAGCCCCTTTGCGATGATAGATGGATGTGTAGTCTTGATGGAGTCATTGAACTTGAAGTTCACCAGCCAGAAAGTTTCAAGATCTTCATCGCTTGGCTTTATACTCGGGATATCAAGATAGCGGAGTGTCTCGTGAAGATTGAACCAGTTGCTCAAGGAAAGACCAACGTCTATTTTCGAAAGCAGTCTCACAAGACCCGATGGTTTCAATTACTTCACTGCTATTTTCTGGCCGACTATATCGGTGCACCACAATTTGCAAACTGCATCATGGATGCTTTGGTTTTTGCCTACAAAGCTTGGGTTGAAACCGACTTTACAAAGGTGGACGTGGATCCAATTTTTGATGATAAGAAGACGGAAGAGCTGGTGGAGATCAATACAGTCGAGTCATCCCCATTGAGAGCTATGATTCGCGACATCTTGGCACCTTATTCTGCAATGAGAAGTGCAAAGCCAACTCTGGATCAGCGTCTCCGTCGGATCTTCACCCCGCATTATTCGTCTCGAAATCATCAGGTTCGAAAACATACGACTACATTTCCATTTTTACTGCCTCTATCTCAAAACGATTCCCCTTCGAATCAAACAAATGCACTTCAAGCATCTCATGTACCTTTGCATCCATTTCTAGGCCACCCACCTCCGCTTTCAATTCCAAACCATCCACCTCTGCCTGCATTTGCAAACCACCCACCTCATCATGCATTCCAAAACCTTCCACCTCCGATATCTCCTCCTCAATTGCATCCACACGCACCGCAACCATTTCATCAACCCAACCCTCGTCGCTCTCGTCTTTTTGGACTGAGAAGATGCAGTGATCTAGACCTGACGAATGTAAAGCTTGATAGACCCGAGAATTCAAAGAAGATTTGGGAAGAGCATCGATGCAAGTACCATATACATGAAAAGAGCAAAGATTGTTGCGACGAAAAGTGATGGGTTGAGGTTTTGGGAAGTTTTGATGTGGTATTTTTGGGACTATGAAGGATCTGTGAGGGTTTTGAGATGGGTTTTTGGTATTTGTTATAAATATGGGGGGAGGATTGCGATGGTTAAGGTTCATGATGCGGGAGGGAGTTTAGGAATTAACAGGTACCAAAGCATTTTTTGGCATGATAGGGTGTCTAATTCAATCATTGTATTTTGAGATAATGCATAACACATAACCCACACCTATAATGTGCAGGCAAACTACAAGCGATGCTACTGAATAGTTGAATATCATCAATGATACAGTAAGCTATATGTAATTCTCTTGTATTAACTCAAAGACTCTCTTCTATATTATGTTATGTGTAATGATAGCAAGTTTACCTGATTTAGCGAAGAGCTATTTTTGTATTTTGTTCCTCAAGCTATGTATCCTATGGTTGAGATTTGGGCACTGGAGGTAGTTATCTGTCTGTTATAGAGGAATAGAATGAGAGACCTTTGGGAGACAGTGTGTTATATATCAAAGAATTGTTTAGTCACAAAGACAGTATCCGACACTCTTTGTATTAATTTACGCATTGCATATCCTGTTGAATCTTTTGACGAATAACAGTATCTAAATCTATTCGGAGGTTAGCACTTAACACCTTCATGAGCAGACCATTATACTAAGAACCATGAAGGCTTTAACCATGAAGAAGAAGACAACTAACTCATGCAAGTCCTTTAGCTTCACCTGATTACGATCCTTTTTCAAAAACACAAAGTCTGAAGTGATTCACAGCCCTTTATATGCAGAAATTCCAAGAATCGTCGGACTCATCAAAATGAAGTAGAAAATAGCAGTGTTTTCTAGAAGCCTAATATATAGAACTATCAAATATCCTGGAACAATCTAGACGTCTTTTCTAAATGTAACTTCATAGAACTAGACACAAATTTGTAAACGACTCTCTAAACTACTGAGCTAAGCTAAATGAGGGAGTAACGCGGTTATATAACCAACCGCCAAAGATAAAAAGCCGAAAACTAAGGGGTTGGGTAAACCACTGCCCAGAACTACTCATTCAAGGAAATACATCCTCTGGAAGCAGTGGCAGGATTACTCCTCAATAATACCGGTACTACATTACGCGTGAAATAGATATGACTATTTTGAGCCCCCTATGAATCTCTCCGTGGAAATATTTGCACAGAATAGGACATGACTATTGATAACTTCGCGCATACCAGATCTTCACAGACCGTACCAACTTTAATTACGTGATCTACTGCCGTACAGCGTACTGGCCGTGGATGTGTCCAAGTCCGCCAGTTATAAATAGACGTTTTAGCTGTAGCTGTACTATTGCTGCATTGGAGTCCTCGGCACTATTTAAGAACTCAAGAGCTCTTCGAATCCTCAACATTTCTTTCATCATACAACTTCATACAACGCCTACAACTAAGAAACTTCAATTGATCCTTTCTTTAATCAAGACACTAAGACAGCAAGACATCAAAGTATCAACGCAACTTACATTGATACATTTACTCTTTCATACATCAACTCATACATACCAATACCTTACATCTCATATAAATAGCAACAAAGATGCCTTCTTTAGCAGATCTCTACAACCTCCCAGTGGATACAGTAACTTCCGCTTCAGATCTCTATAGCATCACAAATACACCTTGGATAGCCAAAAATACACGCGAAGAGCCCATAGTCATTTCAGAGTAAGTCCCATATCTTCTCACCCCTCCCCAACTTTCAAACCCACCCATACCAACCCTCCACAGCGAAGATTACAATAACTTCGCCACCGTCATTATCGGTCCCCCCTCCCATCCAATCCACGTAATCTGGCCCTCCAAACTCTTCAGCCTCAACTCTCTCTTCTTCCGCAGCATTTTCCATCCCAGAACCCCCACAACCGGGGACCTCACACCCCTCTACATCCACAGCCTCCGTCAGCAATTCCTCACCACCTCCCGCATCCCATTCCCATGCATCACCGCATCTCAATGCGACGCCTTTGCCATTTTCTTCTCCTGGAACACGTTCGGCTGCCTCTGTTATGCAAAAGAATACGCAGGAATCACCAGCGACGATGTGTACGAGCGATTGGATCAATATGTGAAGCTCTGGTATCAGATGCTCGAATGCTATAAATTAGCTCAATACCTTATCGCGCCTAAATTTGGGAATGAAGTGACGGATACCATGATTTTGGCTCTGAGAGAAGAAACTACGTATCAGACGAAGCGGAGAAAAATCGAGGATGATCTCGCTCTTCGTGAATTTCGTGATGATCTTGGCGATTCTTCGACTGATGGAACACCTGGAAATCAGGATCTGGGACTGGAAGTACCCGGTCCGAATATTGGTGGAGGTCAGGGTGATGAGGAGGAGACTTTGGACAATTCGATTGATCAAATGAATGGAGTTCCTAGGCCCAGCGATCGACGAGCAATTAAGCCCCCCGAAATTCGTCACGTACTCGGAGGCACCCCAAAACAAATCACGGAACTGCATGCGAATACAAATCCGGGATCACCATTAAGGAGAATGATCATCGATATGATAGTTTCCTATTCAATCCATTATCCGCGGTACTACGGACAGAATGGGGGGCTTGGGGAGTTACTCTGGGGTTCGGCCCAAGGAACCGAGGGAGAATTGAGGGTGTCGATGGAATTCGTGAGGGATTTATTGGCGGCATATAGGAAGGCGGCAAAGAGAGAGGGGGGTCAGAGAGATATGCAGAAGGTGGATGCTTGTAAGTATCATGATCATAAGAATGGTGGGGCTTGTCCGACTACCCTATAAGGCACTTTAAATGAATTTATTACCCTCCTGAAGAATGTAAATTACTTTCCCAAGATAGATAAATCGGTAATTTTTTGTAAATATTCTTTTTAACATATATATTGAGATTCAAAATATGTATTGAGATTTAAAGCTAAAATAGTCTCCGATATCAATAACTATCTTTTCCTAGATTTCTCAATTGCTACCCCCCTCACTCTTTGGCTTCCCCCTCTCTAATTTCTCTGGCTTTTCTAGTGTGAGAGATCACAAGCAGGGAATAGGCCAGATAGTATCAGTGCTACAATTGGGGTATAGTTTGTACAGAACTGAACTTATACCATTGTTATAATAATATAAAAGTAACTTTTTATAGATTTCAGTATAAACTAACTAATAAAGAATAAAGAATATAAAAGAATACTCTATATCCTTTTATATCCACACTTTTCTGGCTAATCCCCAGAAAAGAATTAGTTTTTATATAGTAATATGATATCTTTCTTAATAACTATATCCTCATGATTTAGTTTATACTATCTATAAACAAATAAACACAATAAATATAAACAACTATTTCCGGGAAATTCCTGTAACAATAATATGTTATTATACTTTTTCTAAAAATAATAAACAATAATAATAACAAACTCTCTTTAATAACACAGTTTCCCCAAAATCTTTTATATTTAATTCTGACATATTCCTTATTGATTTCTGTTGGTATCAACGGGAACACCTTT